TACTTCTGGATCCCCTAAAACGGACATAGGGATCGGTTGACCTTCAGTAGCCGTTCTAGGCGCTGCCCAAAAGCGCTGCAGGCACAGATCTTCGCTTGATTCTCTCCCCCGCCTTTCCCTGCTGGGGTCCCCGTCTCTTCCGGCCACCGCCACCCCTCCAACTCCTTGGAGATCCAGGAAGGATTCCCCCCACCCCACCCCCGCTCGCGGGCACAGAGCGATCAGACGCGGGGGCCCGCCCGGGTTTTTTAAGCTCTCGCGATCGGCGGGGGTGGATCGGTCTGAGGCTCCTCCCTGGAGCAGCCCTCCAGCTGGGAGGGGGAGGAGAAAGAGGGGGATCGACGCCCCTTCCCCCCCGGCTCTCCTTTGGCACTGGGGGGGGCTTCCCCTTCCTTCTCCCCCCGCCAAAGCCCCCCAATTCCATCATCCCCCCCACTCTATAATTTGCCACTCAAGAAGAGGACAGTCACTACAAACCAGAGCATCCAGTCCTTTTTTTTTTCTTCCCCCGCCTTTCAATGGAAGCCGTGGGAAAGTGGCACTGGCGGTCGCCCAATCGGAAGGCAGTTCTAGCAGCGGGTTCACCAATCGGAACGCGAGGGCTTCCCCCGTTCCAGGCCAATCGGGCGCCTAGAAAGTTCTGGATGGGGAAAGAAAGCCGTGGGGGAGAGGGGGGGGGAGTCTCTATTAAGAAGTTTAAAGGGGTGGAAGGACAGGACGGGCTTCCGTTACTGCCACGTTGCCAAGAAAACCTGAGGGAGGGAGGGAGGGAGGGAGGGACGGGGGGTCTGAGGGAAGGGATCATAGGGGGATCTAGCGCTCAGCCCTGGAACCTTTTTTGTTGTTGTTTAATGCCTAGATCCAGACCAAGGAAGAAATGAGTTCATAATAAAGTGAAGCGCTCCTTTCTTTCTCCCTGGACCGCAGACGGGATTTCAGAAATAAGGGCCTCTGGCGTTCAGAAGATGTGGCTTCTAAATAGGCGTTGAGCTTCTCATTTTTTAAAAAAAACATTAATCTGACACATCAGGAGGGGAAACCGTATATTTTAGCAAGAAGCCAAGCTGCAGTCTTGTGGTGCTCCAGTTTTATCCAGTCGCCGCAGTGGCTTAGAGATGGCCAGTATTTGTCAAGGATGCTTTCTCGTGCCTCTAATCTCTGTAGCTTCTGGAGAATGGACAATGTAAGGGGCCCCAATGTCTCTCTTGTCCCTGGGGCTGAAGCCAGTGTGGTTTACTGTGGAGCTGGGTGATCTTCAGAGGGCCAGGTGGGGTAGCCCCGTTGGTATGAAGCAGCAGAACAAAGTTTGAGTACAGCGGCACTTTTAAGACCCCTAACATTTTGTTCTGGGTATAAGCTTTCGTGGGCATGCATACTTATTTATCTATTTATTTATTTCAATTCAATCCATATCCTGCCCTCCCTGCCGGAGCAGGCTCAGGGCGGCTTACATACAAAATTAAAACATGTCAAATCATGTTCAAATCAAATCATCAAATCAGTCAATCCCAAAAGAAATCAACCCTGACTGTTCCCTGGAAGGCCAGATAATGAAACTGAAGCTCAAATACTTTGGCCACCCAATGAGAAGGGAGCACTCACTGGAGAAGACCCTGATGCTGGAAAAGATTGAAGGTCAAAGAAGACGGGGACGGCAAAGGATGAGATGGTTAGACAGTGTCATAGATGCAACGAACATGAAGTTGAGCAAACTTCAGAGGACGGCAGAAGACAGGAAGGCCTAGCGTGATCTGGTCCATGGGGTTGCGAAGAGTCGGACTCGACTGTGTGACTGAACAACAACAACAAAAAGCATAAATTATAATCATATATAAACCAGAACAATTTACAAAGTCATAAAATGCAAATAAAGTGTTAGTATTGAAGGCAGTATGATCACAGTAGGCCACGGTGGGATGGTCACAGAAGAATCTAGTCAGAGTTAGTATACAGCTTATCCTGTCAATTTATGCTGGCTGGCACAGGCTATTGCCAGTAGTCCAGTAGTCCAGGGGTAGAAGAAGAAGAGGAGGAGATTGGATTTATACCCCGCCCTTCACTCGGAGTCTCAGAGCGGCTTACCAACTCCTTCCCCTTCCCCTCCCCACAACAGACACCCTGTGAGGTAGGTGGGACTGAGAGAGCTCTGACAGAAACTGCTGTTTTTCAAGAACACCTCTGACAGAACTATGGCTTGCCCAAGGTCATCCAGCAGCTGCGAGTGGAGGAGTGGGGAATCAAACCCGATTCTTCCAGATTAGAGTCCATGCACTTAAACACTACACCAAACTGGCTTTAGTTGTTAGATGTGGCTCCTAATTAAAAGCCTGGTGGAAGAGCTCCGTCTTACAGGCCCTGCGGAACTGCAAAAGTTCCTACAGGGCCCTGATGTCTTCTGTAGGCTTGCCAAGTCCTCCCGGGGGGCGGGGAAACCCCCGTCCCAGAGGCCCGTTCCCCGCCGCCGCCGGATTGGGCCCCGGGGGGGACTCCACCCCGACGTGCACATCACCAGGAAGTGACACGACCATGGCAGGCACGCTGGGGGTGGGGCCATGGTCATCCGAGGGAAAACTATATGTTTCTCCCTCGGATGGTCGTGGCCCCGCCCCCAGCATGCCTGGCGTTGTCACGTCACTTCCTGGTGACGTGGATGCTGACTGAGGGCTGCTGGGAGCAGGGGGTGGGGCTTGTTGCATGTGCCCGCCCCCTGGGCTCTTTACTGCTGGAGCTCCGCTCTTGCAGGAAATGACCCCTGGTCTTCTGCATATAAAGGTAAAGGTTTCCCTTGCTCGAAAGCTAGTCGATTCCAACTCTAGGGGGCGGTGCTCATCTCCGTTTCCAAGCCAAAGAGCCAGCACTGTCCAAAGACTTCTCCGTGGTCATGTGGCCGGCATGACTAAACGCCGAGGCACACATAATGCTGTTACCTTCCCACCGAAGCGGCACCTATTTATCTACTTGCAATTTCTTGCTTTCAAACTGCTAGGTTGGCAGGAGCTGCATATGCCATTCTGCGGCAAAATTAACAAAGGCCCCTCCACGTGCATTCTCTGCAGTGGCCCCCACCTTACAGAATGGCCACCCTGATGAGGTTAGGAAGGCTCCCCTACTCTCCTGGCGTTCCATAAACTATGCAAAACTGAATTATTCAGAATGCCTTTTTTTACACAGGAAATAGGACTGTAGTATAATGAGACAAAAATGTAAAGAAAGATGCTTTGGTGAAAGGGATCGGGACTGCAGACTATACTACTGTGTACTGTAAGTAAATGCCTACAGTCAGGGCTTTTTTTGTAGAAAAAGCCCAGCAGGAACTCATTAGCATAATAGGCCACACCCAACATCAGAAACTCGTTAGCATATTAGACCACACCCCTGACAGCACCGCTGATTGGCATATTAGGCCACACCCCCATTTTAGCAGAAGTGTGCTCATCCAGCCACACAACCTTTTGCTTCTTATTCTCTTTACCTTGTTTGTTGTCAAAACCCGGGGCTTTTTTGTAGCAGGAACTCCTTTGCATGTTAGGCCACACCCCTGACAGCACAGCTCATTGGCATATTAGGCCACACCCTCATGTTACCAGAAGTGTGCTCATCCAGCCACACCTACCTTTTGCTTCTTATTCTGTTTACCTTGTTTGTTGTCCAAACCCAGGGCTTTTTTGTAGCAGGAACTCCTTTGCATGTTAGGCCACACACCCCTAATGTAGCCAATCCTAATGAGTTTCTGCTGTTGGGTGTGGCCTATTATGTTAATGAGTTCCTGCTGGGTGTGGCCAACTTGGAAGCCAGCTGGAACTCCGTTCCTGTGCCTTCCTGCCCCAAAATAGCCCTGCCTACATTGTAATTTCTCCATCATTTACCATGTCACGTTTACATACTTGTGCTTTGTTTCAGATGTCCGCAATTCAAACCCTTCTGTACTGTTTATTGGATGCCTTATTGTGTGGATCGCTTTTAACTTACACTGTGTAATCCGGACTACAAATAATGCAAATAAAATAACTACTTAAATAATACAGGTCACTTTGTAGATTTGGATTTTACTTAATTGCATTTATTTACGTAATTGTAGATCCAGGTGGGTAGCCGTGTTGATCTGAAGCAGCAGGAAGCTCATGCCTTGAATAAAACTTTGTTGGTCTGAAAGGTGCCACTGGACTCAAACTTCGTTTTACTTAATTGCATTTATTGCATAGGGTTGGGCTGTTCTCTTCCCAAACAAAAGTCGCCCGGGGGCCGGGGCTTAAGACTGCCCTTCATCCTGGCAGTACCTCCCTTCACTCCCCAATGCCCGGCCCCCATTGTGCTCGGTCGAGTACTCTGTCTGTAGGCCCTCTGCACATGTTCAGAAGAACTTTCTTTTTGGTGACTTCGAAACCCGGGAGCTGAAAGAAGTGTCAGAGGGTAAGTGAGCCCTGTCTCCGTTTCAAATAAAACTTTGCTCCTTTATTTTACAGGAAGGAAAAAATAACCCATGACTAGAGAGCAATGCTCCCTCTAAGCTGTGGAGTCTTGTGAGCAAAAATCCTACTTTGTGAGCTACTGGCATTAAAGTTGTGAGCGAGCAATTTGGCTACTGCATAAATTAATTTGCTCTGGAGCCCTCCTTCCTGAGTGAAGACAAAAATGTGTGAGCCACAGGCTAAAATAACTGAGCTGGCTCACACTCATCTTAGAGGGAACACTGCTAGAGAGTCTTTCTTCGAAATATGGTGGAGTTCAGGACCCAGAGAATCAATAGTGGCCGTGGCTGAAACAATTCCATTGGCGGGCTTGGGGGGGTGGAAACGTTGCTCAGACGCTCTGACAGGGGCGTGGCTTCCAAGAGCAGGCGGAAACGCGTGTGCCTCTAGCAACATGGCTGCGCCCAGCTGGGAGTAGACGAGTCCTTGTTTTCCATAGGGTTTTAAAGAGACTAGAGTCGCCCGCAACCTGAACTTCCGGAGATAACTATTAGCCGTAATTCTCTATGGCTTTAGCTGAATAAGGGACCCAAAGTGAGGCTGCTCTGTCCTGGTGCACATCTATGGTGGAAGCCGGCTACATTTCGCATCGGGAGAGTGACTGGGGGGAAAAACGTGTTTTCTGCCGTTGAGGACTGCATCGCTTTGGTTTGCTTGCAGCATGGTGGAAAAGAAAGTATCAGGTACTTCTGGAGGAGGGGGTGGGAATGGGGGGGGGGGCGACGAGAGCCTGTAAAGCCAGTGCTCCTTGCTTTAAGAAGGGGCGAAGGGGGCTTTGACTCTGTGCGCTGTCCTATTCAGACTCTGGAAAGACGCCAGAAATCTTGTTGGTCTCTAAGGTGCCGCAGGATTCGAATCTGGCTCTTCTTCTGTAAACTGACACGGCCACCCTCTGAAAGTCACTCTACGAAAATCGCTCTTCGTTCCAAAGCATCTCAGGGCGACCAGACAGAACGATCATTCGCTTTGTCCAGGGCTTTTCTGGCGTGAGGAGCCCCTTTTTTAAATCGCGCGGGTGCATCATGCTAGTCTTCGTTGAGTTGCAGAGTACAGATCCAGCTGACCGCATCGTAGGGTCGCCTCCAGGTGGGGCCTGGAGATCTCCTGGAATTCCCGGTGACTGGGATCAGTTCCTCTGGAGAAAAATGGGTGCTTTGAAGGGTGGGGTCTCTGGCGTTATACGCTGTTGAGGTCCTTCCCCTCCTCAAACCGTGCCCTCCCCAGACTCCACCCACAAATGTTGAGAATTTTTCCAGCCTAGAGTTGGCAACCCTGCCTGATGCATCTCTTGTGATGTGGGTGTGATACATCTGGCTTCATTTTGTGCTTGGATGCAATGTGGTTCATTCCTGAACATATAACCCTTGCCTTCTACTGAGTTAGAGTAGTGTTCTGTCAAGCTCGGTCTTTTTGTTGTTGTTCAGTCGCACAGTCGAGTCCGATTTTTTGTGACCCCATGGACCAGATCACGCCAGGTTCTGCTTGGCAAGAGACATTGACAGATGATCTGCCGTTGCCAGCCTCTGCACAGCACCCCCTCGTGTTCCTTGGTGGTCTCCCATCCGAATACTAGCCAGGGCCGACCCTGCTTAGCTTCCAAGATCTGATGCGCTCCGACTAGCCTGGGCCATCTGGGTCAGGACTGGTTACATGCTACGTGACCTTTCTAAAATGGAGATGCTACTGATTGAACCTGGGGCCTTCTGTGAACACAGCAGATTCTGTGGTGTTCAACTGTGGCTTGCCTCTGAGGTGTGTGTGGTGCTCGCAGAGTGCCTGAGCATGTGGAGAATGCCTTCTTACACTCCATAATCTGCACATGATTTGGAAGGCTTGTGAGCCACAGGATGTGGTTTCCAGGGATCGAGCCTTGGCGTCCTTCCCAGGGGAAACAGAGGGAAGCCTGCCATGCCGAAACAGCATCCACAGCAGGGGGAGAAGAAGAGATTGGGTTTATACCCGGCCCTTCACTTGGGAGTCTCAGAGCGGCTTATAAACTCCTTTCCCTTCCCCTCCCCACAACAGACACCCTGTGAGGTGAGTGGGGCTGAGAGAGCTGTGACAGAAACTGCTCTTTTTCAAGGACAGCTGTGCCAGAGCTTGTGACTGACCCAAGGTCACATCAGCAGGTGCAAGTGGAAGAGTGGGGAATCAAACCCGGTTCTCCCAGATTAGAGTCCACGCACTTAACCAACTACACCAAACAAGTCCACCTCTGTGTGGATAACACCGGGGTTAAGATAAGAGATGCCCAGCAGGCTGTTTGGGATAAGGCAAAAGAGACCTCTCAAGTTCTTCAGAAGAGTCCTGTAGGATCACAGCAGCAGTCCATCTGATTTCTATTTATTTGTTTATTTTTGAATTTATATCCCGCTCTCCCCGAAGGCTCAGGGCAGCTAACAAAGAGGCACGAGTGCCAAAGTTAAAACAGACAAAAGCAGAATAAAACAATACAATACAAAACACTAAAGTGTCGGTGCTCTAGATGCCGCAGAATCGTTAGTTGCAAGACGGGGTTCTGGAAAAAGTTATTAATTCCAGGCCAACAGCATACCTCCTAGCTGCACAACCATCTCATCTTCATCCAGGGATGTCTCTCACCCCATTTAATACCCGCACAATTGATGATCGAGGTGTGATGGTGGGGGGTAACGATGATGGAATAGTGGTGGCGGCGGCTCCTACTCAAAAGCCTGGCGGAAGAGCTCCGTCTTACAGGCCCTGCGGAACTGCGCAAGGTCCCGCAGGGCCCAGATCTCCCCCGGGAGCTCATTCCACCAGGTAGGAGCCGCCACCGAAAATGCCCTGGCCCTATCCATAAAATAGTTACTAGCCACAAAATAGTTACAGGGAAGACAAAAAGAAATACTTCACTCAATGAGTAATTAAATTACAGAGTTCTTTGCCAGCACAGGTAGCAATGCCAGGGCTATTTTTGGGCAGGAACACACAGGAACGGAGTTCCGGCTAGCTCCTGAGTCGGCCACGCCCAGCAGGAACTTATTAGCATAATAGGCCACACCCAACAGCAGAAACTCATTAGGATTGGCTACATTTGGGGTGTGTGGTCTAACAAAAGGTTCCTGCTACAAAAAAAGCCCTGGGTTTTGACAACAAACAAGGTAAACAGAATAAGAAGCAAAAGGTGGGTGTGGCTGGATGACCGCACTTTTGGTGGCATGGGGGTGTGGCCTAATATGCTAATTTGCTGTGCTGTCAGGGGTGTGGCCTACTATGTGAATGAGTTCCTGCTATTGGGTGTGGCCTGTTATGCTAATGAGTTCCTGCTGGGCTTTTTCTACCAAAAAAAAGCCCTGGCAATGACCATGAACATAGATAGTTTCAAAATGGGGCTGGACAGGTTCATGGCGGAGAGGTCCCTTAGGGGCTGCTGGCCATGGTTAGCAAAGGGAACCTTCCTATTCAGAGGCAGTAGACCTCTGAAATCCCAGTGCTGGGAAGCGACATCAGAGGAAGTCCTTGGCATCTCTGTCCTGTTTGTTTGCCCTCCAGGGCAACTAGTTGGTCACTGTATGAAGCAGGATGCTGGACTAGATGGGGTATAAATGAAGCTGATAATTATAAAAAAATGTTATAAAATAATATGCAGGCTTTCATTTCCCCCCCAGATAATTTAGGTGTGTGGTCATATTGGCCTGCAGGAGGAGAGCAAGGTTTGAGTCCAGTTAGCACCTTAAGAGACCAACAAGCTATCCAGGGCTTAAGCTTTTGAGAGTCAAATCGCCCGTCATCAGAGGTCCTCATCAGGGTGGACGTTAATGGAAGAAAACAAACAGGGAAATGGAACAAAAATGCGATGAATCAGGGTGTGGTGACGAAGTCCCTCTTATTAAAATATTTAGACTGTGGACTGTAAAAACAAAACCCCTTAATAAAACCCTAGTTTAATTGCAAACAGGAAGGACCAGTGTACGCTTCTCAGTCCTGGTGCCGAGACCTTTTTTAATCCTTCCAGAACATCTGTTACCAGTCTGGTGCCGTTGCTCCCTGTGTAGACTGGGTGACTTCTCCCCCTTAGCACGCCACAACACATTTCTGCAAATGAAGTTTTGGAGTACTACGGTTCAGCGCTGCCGATTTATAAGACTAAGCATGTGTAATAAGTGTTCCATGTCGACCTGCTTCTGGTAGCTCTAAGATATTTGAGAGGGGCGGTGGCTCAGTGGCAGAACATCTGCTTTGCATGCTAAGGGTCCTAGGTTCAATCACAACATCTCTGGGTAAAAGATCAGGCAGCAGGTGATGTGAAAGACCTCTGCCTGAGACCCTGGGAACTACTGGTAGTTTAACTACAGATGTAAAATTTCTGGAAATTTTGAAGCTCGGAAAAAAACCCGTTTCCCCCCCCCCCCCCCCTCCCCCGCTCTCGTGTTGTCATCTGTGTTTATTAGCATTTCTTTTGTCTTTTCTAGATTGAAAGTCATTCTGTTACTTTAGGAACATAAAATATGACTATGGACATTTTTACTTGGCATGAAATTATCACAACTAGCATATTAAAAATATAGTGTATCCAAACAATTATTACAAACAGAATACCCACCCACATGCAAAAACAAAACTGAAACCTTTTTATTTTCTTCTGACAATCGCACCTCCTAAAGGAAGAAATGCATCTTGTTCTTGCATTGGAGGGTTCAGTTTGTAACCTAGGACTTGCTTGTCCTCAGTGCACAGAAATTAGATCAATCTGATACCATATATATATATTTTAGAAATGATTTGGAAAATATTTGAACACCTTGTCTTAAAATATTTTATTCATCATGTTAAAATAAAACGTTCCATAATCAATTTTTTTCTTTTCTTTTTTCAATTTTTTGGAAAAAAACAAAAAATGCTTCAGGAAAAAACCGGAAGAAAACCGTTTCCCCCCCCGAATTTTTCCGGTTTTTTTCCGGGCCTTCACATCTCTACGTTTAACTAGCCAATACTGACCTTTATGAACCAAGGGTCTTATTTAGTATAATGCCACTTTGTGTATATTGCTGGCCCCAAAAAAGCTGATTTTTTTTGCCATGTTAGAACTAACAATAGATTCAGGTGGGTAGCTGTGTTGGTCTGGAACAACAGAACAAAGTTTGAGTCCTGAAGAAGTGTGCGTACACACAAAATCTTACACCTAGAATAAAACTTTGTTGGTCTTAAAGGTGCCACCGGACTCAAACTTTGTTCTAGAACTAACAATGTTTGTTCTCAAACAAATCTAGAGTTCAGTGGTACCTTTAAGACCAACAAAGGTTTATTCATGGTACGACCTGATGTGTGCATGCACACTTTTTCTAGCATGGGTGATACCACCTGTCACCACAGGAGGGTGCATTCAGACAACATACACTTGTGCGGTGATGGTTACAAGTCGCTGTGTTGTTCCAGAATCCAAACGCAGACAGCCGTGTAATACTGTTTATTATGAAGAACCAAAATACTTCAAGGCACTGTGCGAACCTTTGAGTTCTCCAGAACTCTTCCGTCAGGATGGCTGTTTTAAAAAAATGAAAGAAAAAAAGCAAGGGAGGAGAGAGGTATTTCAGGCTCTGGTCTGCCTGAGGTGTTGAATGCCAGCTGGGTTGGAATAGATAAGATGGTGGTGGAAGGAGCCAGTGCGCCTTTTGGGGGAAAGGGAAAATGGAAGAGGCTGGTTGAAAATATCAGAAGCCATTGTCGCTCAAGTGCTTCTCTGTCAACATTACAGGCCCTTTAAATGGGGGAGGGGCTGTTGGCTCAGTGGTAGAGCATCTACTTGGACTGTAGAAGGTCCCAGGTTCAATTCTTGGCATCTCCAGTTAAAAGGTAGGCGATGCAGAAGACCTTTGGCTTGAGACTTCTGGGGAGCCGCTGCCAGTTTGCATTGGCAATACGCAGGGCGCTTTTGCCGGCCCTTGGACAGGCTGGAGAAGGTATGAGGAGCCAGTTTGGTGCAGTGGTTAAGTGTGCGGTCTCTAATCTGGGAGAACCGGGTTTGCTTCCCCACTCCTCCACTTGCACCTGCTGATGTGACCTTGGGTCAGTCACAAGCTCTGGCACAGCTGTCCTTGAAAAAGAGCCGTTTGTGTCAGAGTCCTCTCAGCCCCACCCACCTCACAGGGTGTCTGTTGTGGGGAGGGGAAGGGAAAGGGGTTTGTAAGCCGCTCTGAGACTCCAAGTGAAGGGCGGGGTATAAATCCAATTTCTTCTTCTTCTTCTTCTTCTTCTTCTTCTTCTTCTTCTTCTTCTTCTTCTTCTCCCCGATCCTTCCAGGGGGCCCCTGGCCCGCCCGCCTCAGAGTCGCTGGGGTGTGTGGGTCACTCTCCAGGCCTTCCCTGTGTAGCCAGGCACGCAGAGGTTTTGGCTGTAGTGGACATGGCCAACTCTGAAGCCAGCCGGAACTCCGTTCCTGTGTGTTCCTGCCCAAAAATAGCCCTGGATACTGACCTGGCTGGACTAATCGGATTCAGTATGAGGCAGCTTCCTGTGTCAGGCTGCGGTCACACACACTAAATAACCCCCTTTCAGTCTATTTTCAAGGCACGTTTGAATTGGATTTTGCCAGTTCGCACAGTAAAAATGCAGCTAAAAAGTGCATTGAAAATGGATTGAAAATGTTTATTTATTTATTTTATTTATTTCGGTATTTTTACCCCGCCCTCCCCACAATTTAATGTGTGTGTGTGTGTGTTTTGTTTTGTGTGTGTTTTTTAAATTATTGAGAAACAATAAGAGTCTATAACTTTTAAGGTTGCCTGTTTTCTTCAATCTGCAATTCAAATTAGGGAAACTATAAACATCGGGGTTTTTTCCTTGCTGTTTGTTTGTATCACAGTCACATTTTTGATGTATTCCTACATTTTAATGTACTTTTATCTCTGACATGCCAATAAAGGTTATCTGTCTGTCTGTCTTGCAATAAGGGTACAATATCCATCAACTTTCAACAGAGCTGCATCTATAAAGTAACACAAATCAAATAATTAACATTCAGTATTAATTCAGTATTATGATAATCATTCAATTGTCATTAGAAAGCTAAAATTAGCTCAGGCATCAGAACCAAAAGGACTTCCGTGTTTGAATTTCCATTTCAGAGATGGAGCCCACTTATTAATTACATATGACTCATTGACCTGTAACTCTGGACGTTGAATGTCATCCGAAATTTTTTCCATAATAAAAAAATCCCGCAATTTTGTGTACCAAAGATGGATCGTTGGAGGGCTTTTGTCTTTCCACTTTATCGCTATTATGTTTTTTGCTGCCGTGACCATCATCATAATCAGGTCTTTCTCAAGTTTGGAGACTTTAAAGGTTTCCCATAAATTCAAAAGGATCACCTCAGGGTTCAGTGGAATTGTGACATTTGTTCTACAAGCGATTTCCGAGGCTATTTGCTCCCAAAACGACCTGATCACCTTGCGCGTCCGCGAATCGTGGGAAAAGGTCCCCTTCTGACCGCAGTATTATTATTTTTTTAATATAATTTTTTATTGAAGTATAAATAATAGTACAACCACCACCCATACACCCTATACACTCCCACCTCTCCTGCTTAAAATCGATCCCATATCGTATCTGATGTAAGTCTAAATAAGCAAATTATATTACATTCAGATTTCCTTATACATTCTTATCAATCCAGTTATATACATTTGACCACATAGATGAAAACACTGAGTTTGTTCTTCCGTGGAGTTTTTGTGTTAGATTGTCCATTTCTATCACCTCAATTACTTTATTTATAAAATCTAGCCTATATGGGATTTCATTTCTTTTCCAGTAGCTAGCTAGTACAATTCTAGCTGCCGCTAATAGATTCGTCAAAACGTGTTTATCTCTCTTTTCCCAACTTTCAGGTAATATGTTCAATAAAAATATTTCGGGGTCCAGTGGTATTTGCATTTTTGTTGCCTGGGTGATCACCTGATGTACCTCTTTCCAATATTTCTTTACCGCGTCACACGTCCATCAGGCATGATAGAACGAGCCAAATTGTGTTTTGCACTTCCAACACATATTACTGCATCCAGGATAGAACCTGGCCACCCTGGCGGGAGCTAAATACCATCGATAACATACCTTAAACAGATTTTCCTTTAATGAAACCGCAGTATTATTTAGTGTGTGTGACCGCAGCCTTAATGTGTTAAAAGGCTACGAGCAGAGGTAAGACATGCAAAGTTAGCATAAAGTTTTCAAACCTAATGTGTGACTTGGGCTTCAGGCGTGCGCTGTGAAGAACAGGAAGGCTGCCTCTGCTGGCTGCCATTGGGGGGGGGGGCTGATGCCCACTGAACGGCTGGTGATATCGATGAGGGCTCCAAACAGCTCTTGGCAAAACGGTACCCTGTCAGCCGGTTGGCCTCACAGCCTCTCTCTCTCTCTCTCTCTCTCTCTCTCTCTCTCTCTCTCTCTCTCCTTTTCCCTCCAGTGCGGTCCCAGGACCCCAGCCAGCGACGCATCTTGGATCGGGCCACCCGGCAGCGGCGTCTGAACCGCCAGCTGGAGGCCTTGGAGAACGACAATTTCCAGGACGACCCTCACGCGAACATGCCCCAGCTTGTGAAGCGGCTGCCGCAGTTCGACGATGATGCTGAAACGGGTGAGTCCCGGGACGGGACCTGGTGGCTGTCGCCCTCCTCTCACGACGACGTGTGTCTCTGCCCTCTGCCGGACAGGCTCTGCTGCATAGTGGTTAGCAGGGGTCATTTCTTGGAAAAAGAGGTGCAGGAGCTCATTAGCATAACTTATTTGCATAACTCATTTGCATAGGCCACAGCCCCCCGACATCACCGGAAGTGTGTCAGAAGGCAACACCCACCGCTCAGGCTCCACTGTTGGATTGCTTGCTTTTGGGGGGGGGGGTTGAAATGCGCAGATCTGCCCTCACAGAGGAGGGAGAGCTTGTACCTGAAGGGGAGGGGGGCTCTGCACCTTACCTGGCTGCTTCTTGCTCCTCGTGGCCCGACTGAGGACTGCTGGGAGCAGGGGGCGGGGCTTGTTGTATGTGCCCGCCCCCTGGGCTCCTTACTGCCGGAGCTCCGCTCCTGTGCGCTCCCACAGGAAATGACCCCTGGGTTAGAGAAGGGGGGTCCCCCAACCTTTTTAAACCTGCGGGCACCTTTGGGAGTCTGACATAGCATGGTGGGCGCAGCCACGGAATGTCCGCACACAAAATGGCTGCCCCGGCTTATGTTCAGTCACGCAGTGCGGACGCTCGTGCTGCGGTGGCAGCTGCTGCCAAAGCAACCTAGTTAAAAATCTGCACAGCCAATCAAATCTCCAGTGGCCATCCAGAAGCCTAGTGGGGTAAAAGCCTTAGCTGGCCCCTCCCACTTTCTAGAAGCGCAGAAAAAGGTGTTGGAGGGCACCATCTTGCCTATGGACACTGTGTTCGGGACCCCTGGGGCAGAGGGTAGGACTAGGCTCTGGGAGGTAAAGGTAAAGGTCTCCCTTGCTCGAAAGCCAGTCAAATCCAACTCTAGGGTTGCGGTGCTCGTCTCCGTTTCAAAGCCGAAGAGGCAGCGCTGTCTGAAGACGTTTCCGTGGTCATGTGGCCGGCCTGACTAAACACCAAGGCGCACGGAACGCTGTTACCTCCCCACCGAAGTGGTCCCTATTTATCTACTTGCAATTTCTTGCTTTCAAACTGCTAGGTTGGCAGGAGCTGGAACTGGAGATGGGAGCTCACTCCATCATGCGGCACCAGGGTCTCGAACTGCTGAACTACTGACCTTCCACATTCTGCAGTTCAGTGTCTTAACCACTTGAGCCACCGCAGCTCCGGGTAGACTCTGGGAGACCCGGGTTCAAATCCCTGCTCTACCATGGAAGCTTGCTGGGCGACCTTGGGTCAGGGTCATGCCCTCACCCAACCTACCTTTCAGGGCTGTTCTGAGGATATAATGGGGGGGAGGGAGAATGACATATGCCGCCCTGAGCTCCTTGGGAAGAAGGACAGGATGAAAAATGTGGTAGAGAGGCAAATGAGTCTTTGAGGCATTGAATGGGGACAAGTGAGAGAAAAGGAGGGAAACTGGGAGATTAAATTGTTTTATTTGTTGACTTCACTTTATCCCCACCTTTCTCCCTCGTGGGGGCCCAAAGTGACTTGTCTCTTTCTCCCATCCTCTGTTTAGTTGTTTTTTAAAAATAATTAAATAAATAAATTTTTCAAAATAATTAAATAAATAATTAATAATATGGTCTGGGTCCAGCCTACCTGAGGGACCGCCTTTCCCTGTATGTTCCCCCAAGAGCGCTACGGTCGGGGCCCCAAAACCTTCTAACCATACCGGGCCCCAAGGAGGCTAAGTTGGTCGTCACGAGGGCTAGGGCTTTCTCGGTGGTGGCCCCTGCCTGGTGGAATGAGCTCCTGGAGGAGATCCGGGCCCTGCGGGATCTGGGGCAATTCCGCAGGGCCTGTAAGACGGAGCTCTTCCACCAGGCTTTCGATTAGGGGCCGCCGCCGCTGCCCCCCCCTTGTTTGATATGTGGTGCCCTCTCTGATGTTGTAGTATGGATGCTGTGTAGTTCGAGCACTTTATTATCTGTTTAGGTTTTTAAATTGTATATTATGGTTTTAAATTGTATTATAGTATTCGATGTTTTATGAGCAAGTTTTTGCTATGTAAGCCGCCCTGAGCCCTACGGGGGAGGGCGGGATATAAATTTAACAAACAAATAAATAAATAAATAAAATATTAAAAGATAAGTCAAGTATACATAAACAAGATTGCTGTTTTAACATTAATACAAACTGTAAGTGCAGATACAGGAGCTGCGGTGGCTCAAGTGGTTAAGACGCTGAACTGCAGGCTGTGGCAGGTCAGTAGTTCAGCAGTTCAAGACCCGGGTGCCGCATGATGGAGTGAGCTCCCATCTCTAGTTCCAGCTCCTGCCAACCTAGCAGTTCGAAAGCAAGAAATTGCAAGGAGATACCGTATTTTTTGGACCATAAGACGCACTTTTTCTTCCAAAAAAAGTGAGGGGGAAAGTGTGTGCGTCTTATGGACCGAATACTGAGCCCCAGGGTTCAGAATATTTTTTCCCCTGTTTTCCTCCTCTAAAAACTAGGTGCGTCTTATGGTCAGGTGCGTCTTATGGTCCGAAAAATACGGTAAATAGGGACCACGTCAGTGGGAAGGTAACAGCGTTCCGTGCACCTTGGTGTTTAGTCATGCCGGCCACATGGCCACGGAAACGTCTTCGGACAGTGCTGGCTCTTCGGCTTGGAAACGGAGATGAGCACCGCAACCCTAAAGTCGGATTCGACTGGCTTTCGAGCAAGGGAAACCTCAAGTGCAGATACATCTATCACAATGCCGTCTATTAAGTTGCCAGCAGGATCTTCCTGTGTCCATAGCCTTGTCACTATCTCGTGATTTTCCAATTATTCTACTATTACTAAAGTCATAACGTATAATAAATCCAGATATATTTTAGCAGGACCTCAATAGTATTCTATGAGAGTGCTCAGACCATAAAAAATTCTCATGGATGTATCCATTCTGCATAGCCAGTATTTGCTGGTAATACATCATTTTCTGCAAAATATGTTATGAAAGGACACCCTTTTCGAATGAATCTGGAATGGGACCCCGCATACCCTGTGAGTGTGTGAGGCTGGGAGAGTGTGACTGGCCCGAGGCCACCCAGCAGGCTTCCATGGCAGAGCAGGGATTTAGAACCTGGGTCTCTCCCGTTCCTAGTCCAACACTCTAACCTGTACACCAGACTAGCTCTGGTAGTGCGGACCTTGAGTCACCCCCCTGTAGACTCTGTCTGGGCATCACCGCCGGCTGTCTTCTCGTTGAAAGTGCTCTCTGACGCCACTTCCCCCCCCCCTCATTGCCATGTTCGCAGGGAAGAAAAAGAAGAAAACCCGCGGGGATCATTTCAAGTTGCGTTTCCGCAAGAACTTCCAGGCTTTGTTGGAGGAGCAGGCAAGTGTCAGTCCTCCCGCTTCCAATTGCAGGGCTCGGGTGGGGCACGTAAAGTTGCTGTTTTTGCCTTTTGTGTGCGCATGTTTGTCTTTCCCAGACGTTCAGGGGCTGGTGCCGAATTAACGGTCTGAACACCGAGCAGTTAGAGTCACTCCCTTGCAACTGATTTTTGAGGGAGGGAGCCATAAAACGGTTAACAGCTTCAGGGGGTGGAAATTTACGATCTGTTTTATGAGGAACTCTAAACCTGTTCGTTTTTTAATTGCACTTCTGGGGCGTTGATGGGGCTTTGATGTGGAACAGCCCTGACCTGGATGGCCGGGGCTAGCCTGATCCTGCCAGAGCTCGGAAGCCAGGCAGGGCTGCCCCTAGCCAGTGGTGCAAAATGCCTCGGCCAGGCTTCTGGTGGGACTCCCTATTCGCGAGCACATCCAGCCTGTGCTTAAGGCATTCGACTCCTTCCCCTTCCCCTCCCCACAACAGACACGGTGGGGCTGAGAGAACTGCTCTTGAGAGGAGAGCCCTGAGAGAAGTGACTGACCCAAGGTCACCCAGCTGGCTGCATGTGGAGGAGGAGTCGGGAATAGAGATGTGGAGGCCCGGGAAAAAAAACCGGAAAAATTTGGGGAAAAACCGTTTCCCCCCCGTTTTTTTCCTGAAGCCTTTTTGTTTGTTTTTTCTGAAAAATTGGAAAAATTGAAAAAAGAAAAGGAAAGGAATCATTTCTAATATATATAGATATATGGTATCAGATTGATTTAATTTCTGTGCACTGAGGACAAGCAAGTCCTAGGTTACAAACTGAACTCTCCAATGCAAGAACAAGATGCATTTCTTCCTTTAGGAGGTGCGATTGTCAGAAGAAAATAAAAAGGTTTCAGTTTTGTTTTTGCATGTGGGTGGGTATTCTGTTTGAAATAATTGTTTGGATACGCTATGTTTTTAATATGCTAGTTGTGATCGTTTCATGCCAAGTAAAAATGTCCAAATATGTCCATAGTCATATTTTATGTTCCTAAAGTAACAGAATGACTTTCAATCTAGAAAATCTAGAAAAGACAAAAGAAATGCTAATGTAGCATTTTTTTTCGATTTTTCCAAAAATGTCCATTTTTTCCCCAGAAAAAAACGGAAAAAACCCGAGTTTTTTTCCGAGCTTCAACATTTCCGGAAATTTTACATCTCTACCGCCTTTCCCCACATGTTCCCCCGAGAGCGCTGCGATCAGGGGCCCAGAACCGGCTGGCCCTCCCGAGTCTCAAGGAGGCCAGGCTAGTAACAACCAGGGCCAGAGCTTTCTCGACGGCGGCTCCATTCTGGTGGAATGAGCTCCCGGAAGAGGTCAGGGCCCTGCGGGACCTTTTGCAGTTGCCACAGGGCCTGTAAAACGGAGCTCTTCTGCCGGGCCTTTGGAGCCGCCACCACCACTAACAACTGACAGTCCATGGTTGGAGAGCCCTGTTTCCCCCCTGGGGCTTCTAACGACAGCCTGAGTTTACCGCCTAAGATGACCTAAGAAGACCAAGGAGCTGACTGCGAGATGAGAGAACTAAGTAACGGCACTGCTGCGAAATCACTGATACTAGCGCTTATTGTGGTTTATGGTTTTAGCATCACTTACTTGTATTAATTGATGTTGTTTAATTTTAATCTGTATTATTGTAATTTTATGCTGTTTTATGTAAGCTGCCCTGAGTTGGGCGTGGCTGGGAGGGCGGGGTAGACATTTAATAAATCAGTTTGGTGTCGTGGTTCAGTGCGCGGACTCTAATCTGGGAGAACCGGGTTTGATTCCCCACTCCTCCAGTTGCAGCTGCTGGATGACCTTGGGCAAGCCATAGTTCTGATAAGAGCTGTCCTTGGAAAAGGGCAGTTTCTGTCAGAGCTCTCTCAGCCCCACCTACCTCACAGGGTGTCTGTTGTGGGGAGGGGAAGGAGTTTGTAAGCCGCTCTGAGACTCCTTTGGGTAGTGAAGGGCGGGGGGTATAAATCCAGTCTCTTCTTCTTCAAATCAAATAAATATTTGGATGGGAGACAATGCTCCCTCTGAGCTGTGGAGTCTTGTGAGCAAAATTTCTACTTTGTGAGCTGCTGGCATTAAAGTTGTGAGCGAGTGATTTGGCTCCTGCATAAATTAGCTTGCTCTGGAGTCATCCTCCCTGAGCTAAGACAAAAATCTGTGAGCTGGAGGCTAAAATTCTGTGAGCTGGCTCACACTCACTCAGCTTAGAGGGAACACTGGCAGACCACCAAGGAGTACCAGGGCCATGACATGGAAGCAGGCAATGACAGACCACGTCTGTTCTACTCTAGTCTTGAAAACCCTACGGGGTTCATTGTAGGTCAGCTATGACTGGACGACACTTTCCACCACCAGATGTGCAGTAATAATAATAAAGGCCAATGACAATCCATATCACTGTAGATGCCAGGGGATTGAACCTGGGACTTCCTGCATGCCAAGTATGTTCTCTCCCCCTGACCCACAGCTACTGTTCCCTCTAAGCTGAGTTAGTGTGAGCTAGCTCACAGTTTTTTAGCCTCCAGCTCACACATTTTTGTCTTAGCTCAGGCAGGATGGCTCCAGAGCAAACCAATTTATGCAGTAGCCAAATGACTGGCTCACAGCTTCAATTCCAGTAGCTCACGAAGTAGAATTTTTGCTCACAAGACTCCACAGCTTAGAGGGAACATTGCCCACAGCCCCCTTCTTGTCCGGGTCGTAGCTGTCTTTCTGACCTCTCCTCCTTGGCGTCTTGTACAGAACCTCAACACGAGCGAAGGGCCCAACTATCTCACCGCCTGCGCGCCTCCTTCCAACTTGCCCCAGCGTCACTTCTGCACTGTCTGCGGCTTCCCCTCGAACTACACTTGCGTGTCCTGCGGGGCCCGTTACTGCTGCGTGAAGTGTTTGGGAACGCATCAAGAGACCAGGTGAGACGTGCATATAAATAAACTGCCTGGCTACTCACTTAGGGCGATCAAGGAATCTCATCCAGATGACCAGGCCAGGGAGGTGTCATCAGGCTTGTTTTAGAAGTGTGCTTTGGATATACTTTTAAACCAAATAACAGGATAGAATGGAAACTTCGAACCAGTTAGTCCCCTGTGTCTGTGAAAGTCAAGGATAAGAACATAAGAGACGCCACTGTTGGATCAGGCCAAAGGCCCATCCAGTCCAACACTCTGCGTCACACAGTGGCCAGAAATACCAGGTGTCATCAGGAGGTCCACCAGTGGGGCCAGGACATTAGATGCCCTCCCACTGTTGACCCCCCCAAGCACCAAGATGACAGAGCATCACTTGCCCCAGAGCCCCTATCTATACCTTGTGGCTAATAGCCACTGATGGACCTCTGCTCCATATGTTTATCTAATTCCCTTTTGAAGCCGTCCATGCTTGTAGCCGCCACCACTTCCTGTGGCAGTGAATTCCATGTGTTAATCACTCTTTGGGTGAAGAAGGACTTCCTTTTATCCGTTCTAACCCGACCGCTCAGCAGTTTCATGGAGTGCCCACAAGGAGTTCTTGTATTGTGATAACTAGTGTGGGCTCCTTTCCCTCAGCCGCTGAAGATGCTGGGCAGATCTCTGCAACTGAGGCCTGATTTGATGCTTCAACTTCTTCACTGCAGATCATTTCTCCTCATTTTGTAACTGCCTTCCTTGCCAGGCCCTCTGAAGTCTCACATGGCACCGCCCTTTAGGCCTGCTTGCAACTTGGAATGAAACTTCTTTGGGCTTATCCAAACCAGACTCTGGCTGTGAATTCAAAATTTATTTTATTTATTTCATGTATACCCTGCTTTTCTCCCCTATTACAGATCCAGAGTGGTTTACGTTCCTCCCCTCTGTTTGGTCCAGAATTGGCCTCTAGCCTAGAAATCCCCCTGCCAGTACAAAATTATGTCATGCAGTAGCCAGAAAGTGGAGCTGCGGTGGCTCAAGTGGTTAAGACGCTGAACTGCAGGCTGTGGAAGGTCGGTAGTTCGGCAGTTCGAGACCCGAGCGTGCCGCATGACGGAGTGGGCTCCCGTCTCTAGTTCCCGCTCCTGCCAACCTAGCAGTTTGAAAGCAAGAAATTGCAAGGAGATAAATAGGTACCACTTTGGTGGGATGGTAACAGCGTTCCGTGCTCCTCGGTGTTTAGTCATGCCGGCCACATGACCACGGAAATGTCTTCGGACAGCGCTGGCTCTTCGGCTTGGAAACGGAGATGAGCACTGCAACCCTAGAGTCGGATTCGACTGGCTTTCGAGCAAGGGAACCTTTACCTTTAGCCAGAAAGTGTTTGCACAACTTGAAATCGGCTGTTACGTCATCATTTATTTGGGGGGGGTTCTTATTTCCCCAAGTATACTAATGCTTTTTTTAAAAGAAAAACTTCTTTGGGCAGAGGCTCACGTTGCTATGGAAATAATCAATCCAGAATGGTACCTGAAACGAATATTAGTCCAGAGCAGACCTCCGAAACTTTCTCGGGGAATCGAGCCCCCATTTTGATACATTTCTTAGTGCAGCATTCCTGGCAAACAGAGGGGGGAAAGATCCAAAATGGCTGTTTGTAGAATCATAGAAGGAACCCTTCAAGGTCATCTAGTCCAACCCCCTGCACAATGCAGGAAACTCAGAAATACCTCCCCTATACCCCTCAGTGACCCCTGTTCTATGACCAGAAGATGACAAAAAAACTTCCAGGACCCTGGGCCAAACTGGGCTGGAGAAAAATGGCTTCCTGACCTCAAAGTGGTGACCGGCATTTCCCTGGACTTGTAAGAAAGGGCCACGGGAACTAAGCACTGTTGCAACCCTCCCTGCCCTCCCTCTCATGATCTGCCCAGGTTCACAGCATCTGCATTGCTGTCAGAGGGCCATCAAGCCTCTGCTTGAAAACCTCTTAAGGAGGAGAGCCCACCCCCTCCCGAGGAAGCCTTTTCCACTGCAGAACCGTTCTGTCAGGAGGTTCTTCCTCATGTTTAGCCGAAAACTCTCTTGATGTCATTCCAACCCCGTTAGCTCTCTTTGCCAAAAGACAAAACTAGCTGCACTAAGAGAAGACGCTCGATGGGCTCTGTTCCCTCCCTGCTGTATAGATGTTTAGCGGTACTCATACTTGGACTTGCTTATAGGCTGACATTCTTGCTGTCTCTTACGCGCAGGTGTCTGAAGTGGACGGTTTGAGCTGCATCCCGAGGAACTGCCGTTTGCTGGCCTGTATGTGGAACGTGGTTGAGGGCTGCCTGTTGCCCGTGGATCCATCCAGCTGCCGGGGCCCGTCTCTGTGTCCCATTGAGCTGAGGTGTGGTGGACTGGGTTCTGAGTGCGGAGTGAAGATCACATGCCTTGTACTGATCCGCCACTAGCATCTGAGTAATAAAAACAAGGTGTTTATCCAATTTTGTGTGTGGGACTTTGCTAATCCCCTCAGTCACCTGGAGCAGTTTGTTCTGCCAGTGAAGTCAAACTTAATGTCGATTTGGGGCATTAGAGCCTGGCCCAAAGACTGCCTTGTTATGAAAGGAAGTGGAGAAGGAGCCGTTCCTGGCTTGCAAACTCCCGTAGACCAGGGGTTCTCTGGAAAGTCCCCTGGTAATCAGCTTCCAGCACTCAGGGTTCTCCTGAGAACATCTAGACTGACCCTCTGAGCAGAAGTGTTCTCAAAAGAGCTCTCTCAGCCCCACCCACCTCACAGGGTGTCTGTTGTGGGGAGGGGAAGGGAAAGGAGTTTGTGAGCCGCTCTGAGACTCCTTTGGGTAGTGAAGGGCGGGGTATAAATCCAATCTCCTCTTCTTCTTTTTGGACTGCAACAAGAGAGGGGAGGAAGTCACATCCCACAGATGGAAATCTTTCCCATCCTTAGAAGTTATCGGTGGACCCAGCCCAATATCTGTGCCTCAGATGTTTCGTTAGATGCAGCTGCTTCCTCTGTGCTAGAAGAGCTCAGTGGATCAAACCTCTACTAAAGAAGAAGAAGAGATTGGATTTATACCCCGCCCTTCACTTGGAGTCTCAGAGCGGCTTACAATCTCCTTTCCCTTCCCCTCCCCACAACAGACACCCTGTGAGGTGGGTGGGGCTGAGAGAGAACTCTTGAAAGAAACTGCTCTTTTTCAAGGACAGCTGTGCCAGAGCTTGTGACTGACCCAAGGTCACATCAGCAGGTGCAAGTGGAGGAGTGGGGAATCAAACCCGGTTCTCCCAGATTAGAGTCCGCACACTTAACCACGACACCAAACTGGCTCTCTCAAAAAGCAAACTATTGCCTGTCTCAGCTCATGCCCAAATGCGCCAGGTGGGTAACAGGTACCCTGCAGCCGGGGGCCTCATTTGAGATCGACGAGTCTTGCCATTTGGTAGTGCTGTGCAGGATTGCACACCGGAGGGGCCGTGGCTCAGTGGGAGGGCCTGTGCTTTGCATGCTGAAGACCCCAGGTTCAATCCCCAGCATCTCCAGTTAAAAGGGTTGGGCAGTGGGTGATGTAAAAGGCCTCTGCTTAGGACCCTGGAGAGCAGCTGCCAGTCAGAGAAGACGATAATGACGAAATGATGGCTTGAGGCACAGTTACACCCTTCTAAGTCTGAGTTTATTTATTTATTAGATTTCTGAATTGCCCAACCCTGCAAGCGGGCTCTGGGCGATTTACAGCATTGAAACAGATAAATTACAATCGAAACGATAACAATTATTAAAATGCATGAATAAAACAACCAATCCAGATGGCGAGCGATCCCTTTTTTTGTCGGCTGCCGTGCTCCCTGCGCAGCAGGGCGGGGAAGCGGACATGAGGCCAAAAGGAAAAAAGGAGTGTTATACAAATTAATATCCAGTCAAAAATAGGAGATTGAAGTCAAAACGTGGAGGAAAATCTTGTATTTAATTGCGATCAAACAAGGAAAACAGTTAGGCCAAATGACCCATCAACATTGACTGCTTTCTGAGCCCAAAACCAGGAAATACATGAAGTTAAATACTTAATATGACATCATCATACCATCATCATAAAAGCATAATTGGTTACAAGAAATTAAACGACATTTAAATGAAAATCTCCTTATTGGTCAAATGTAAGAAATCGTGTCACGTATTGACTTGACCTGACCTGAGTCGTATTGGCCAAGGCTTGTTCTCACCCAAACAAAGGTGTTTTTCTCTGATACTGTTAAAAATCCTTTTTGACCCAGACACTATGAAGTTATAACCTAAACAATTAGAACCATGAACCTTATACCTTCTCCTGTACCAAAATAATGCTATTGTCTTGTCTGTTAACATCAGCTGGAAAAATACCCTGACCTACAAAGAAAGAGAGGCCTTCATTACATCCCAGTAAAATCTTATTTAAGAATGAATCTATAAAAACCAGAGAAATATGAATAATCAAAAAAGGGGGGGAAATCGTTATAGCCCTGAAGGCTGACGGGTTCACGATGCAAAGAAGACACGAGAGCCAGGTTGGTGTAGTGGTTAAGTGCGCGGACTCTAATCTGGGAGAACCGGGTTTGATTCCCCACTCCTCCACTTGCACCTGCTGATGTGATCTTGGGTCAGTCACAAGCTCTGGCACAGCTGTCCTTGAAAAAGAGCAGTTTGTGTCAGAGTTCTCTCAGCCCCACCCACCTCACAGGGTGTCTGCTGTGGGGATGGGAAGGGAAAGGAGTTTGTAAGCCGCTCTGAGACTCCCTTGGGTAGTGAAGGGTGGGGTATAAATCCAATCTCTTCTCTTCTTCTCTACGACACAAAACAGCTCTGCAGAAACTGTGTGTCCCAGCCAGGCTGGGCACATTATTTATTGAAAATTTCTTCCCCCGTCCCCTCCCTTTTTCTCCCTGCGTAAGGGAAAGTTACAGGCATACGAGCATAGTTATGGAATGTGTTGATGCCAAAAGCTCACAGCTCCTTATCTTGCCTGTCCCTTTGCCAAGGTAGCTTCTCACAATGAACTCAGCACATCAGCAGATGTTTCCGCCTTGTGCAATTAGCCTGATACCTGGGTTCCCAACCTCCATGCAGGAACAACGTTAATACTCCCGGGCCTGCCTCTCAGGAGTGTATGTTGTTCCTACATAGCACCATCTATAAGAACATAAGAGACACCAATGTTGGATCAGGCCAAAGGCCCATCCAGTCCAACACTCTGTATCACACAGTGGCCAAAAATACCAGGTGCCATCAGGAGGTCCACCAGTGGGGCCAGGCCAGGACATTAGAAGCCCTCCCAATGTTGACCCCCCCCAAGCACCAAGATGACAGAGCAACACTTGCCCCAGAGTCCCTATCGATACCTTGTGGCTAATAGCCACTGATGGACCTCTGCTCCATATGCTTATCCAGTTCCCTTTTGAAGCCGTCCATGCTTGTAGCCGCCACCACTTCCTTTCTATACTACAGGAGGGTGCCAGTTTTAACCGTCACTGTCCTCAACCAAGAGCCTGGCGGGACATCTCTGCCTTACAGGCCCTGTGGAACTGCATCAGATGCTGCAGGGCCCTGACGTTATTCGGCAGAGAGTTCCACCAGTTCGGGGCCAGGACTGAAAAGGCCATGGCCCTAGTTGAGTAACGCCGGTCAGTTGTTATCAGCTGATCTCAGTGCTCTTCTGGGGACATATTGGAGGAGGCGGTCCTGAAGGTTGAAGTCAGTGGGCTGAGACGGGCGTAAATGCTGCTGAGGGTTTGCCTGGGAGGTGGTCATCTGAGGCCCTCTCTGAATCAAAAGCAAGAGACTGCAGGCAGCCCAAAGCCAAATTTTAGTTCAGTTGTGCAATGAATACTCCCAAGAGGCACTTATTTGAGCCATGGCCCTGTTTGTCTTCCTCTGTTACTTATTAACAGGATATTTCCCTCCCACCCCCCAAAATCTCTGAGTTGAATGCCTTGCCACTGCTAGTCCAAAGTTGCTTCTGAACACCCCCGGGCAACTATATACTGCCACTGTTCAAACACTGGATGTTAGTAAGCCAACGGGGCTTCGATGAGCTTGAAGACGCCAAGCACTGGACCACGATGGTGAGCGATGGCCAGTGAATGGCCTTTGAGGTATATCTCAGCTTTGGTCTTGATTGTGGCGTTGAGCGGTTAGTTCTGGGTCACCTATGGATAAGAGAAGAATTGTGAACATTGTGAAGGGAGGGAGTAGAGACCTCCCTCTTCCTGTTGGTTAGGCGGGTTGGTCTGGAGTTGAAAAGCAAGGGTTGAGTCCAGTAGCACCTTAAAAACCTACAAGATTTCCAGGGTATAAGCTTTCATGAGTCAAAGATCCCCGCCTCAGGTACCTTTGCCAGACAGCCTTAACTTTTTTTTGTTTGGTATTTGTGTCCACACCTGGAAGTTGCATTGACTTCTAGTGACTGGCCCCTATGGGGGTCCTGGAGGATATTCACAGAGGTGGCTGAATAAAGCCTGCCCCTGTCCTCCGGACTTGGTATTCCAAGGAATCTCCCATCCAAGTACTAACCACAGTCCACCCTGCTTAGCTTCTGAGCTTTGATGAGATCAGGCTTCCCTTGAGCTATCCAGGTTGGGGCTGAGAGCTTTGACTCTTAAAACCTTATACCCTGGAAATTTTGTCGGTCCCTAAGGTGCTACCCGAGTGTGCCGCATGATGGAGTGAGCTCCCGTCTCTAGTTCCAGCTCCTGCCAACCTAGCAGTTCGAAAGCAAGAATTTGCAAGTAGATAAATAGGTACCACTTCGGTGGGAAGGTCACAGCGTTCCATGCACCTTGGTGTTTAGTCATGCCAGCCACATGATCGTGGAAACGTCTTCGGACAGCGCTGGCTCTTCGGCTTGGAAACGGAGACGAGCACCGCAACCCTAGAGTCGGACTCGACTGGCTTTCGAGCAAGGGAACCTTTACCTTTAAGGTGCTACTGGACTTGAATCTTGATTTACTGTCTACTGGACATGTTGATTTTCACAAAGAAATGTATCAGACTACTGAGACTGGGTCCATCGCTATGGTCTGGCCTCAAAGGGAAGCGAGTCAGAAGTCCACGATAAAATGCAAATGTCCCTGAGATGTCGCCTCCTGTATGGGCTAATCGATTTCAGAGATGGTCGGGTTTTTCTAGGAGAATGGCTCGTGGTAAACTCTGGTCTTCAGTGGAACCATAAAGAAGGTGACCTCTCCCGCATGTTCAGGTGGAAAAGGCGAATCTGCTGTTCTGAGCTTTCTTCTTCCCGTCTTCTTCCGAGAGCAAACAGGGTTGCTGTGGATAAAGATACAGTATTTCCGTGGTGTTGTCTAAGGGGCAGGCTATGGCAAACCACATCTGAATGTCTCTTGCCTTCAAAACCCTATGGCAGGGGTCCCCAACGAGTGGTGCCTTTGGGGGGGGGCTAGGCCACCCGCTAAATGTTTTTAGGAAATAAGTGGGGCCGGATGGAGTTTTCGCCCAGCAAGGCTTCTGATTGGCTGTGCAGATTTTTTTAAAAGGTTGCTTTGGCAAGCGTCTGCCACCACAGTAAGGGCTGCGGTGGCTCAAGTGGTTAAGACACTGAACTGATTGCGACACAGCAGTTTGAGACCCCAGTGCTGCGTGATGGAGTGAGCTCCTGTCTCTGGTCCCGGCTCTGCCAAACTAGCAGTTCGAAAGCAAGAAATCGCAAGTAGATAAACAGATACCACTTGGGTGGGAAGGGTATAGTGCCATAGAGTCTGCCCTCCAAAGCAGCCATTTTCTCCAGGGGCACTGATCTTGGTCGTCTGGAGATGAACTGTAATAGCAGGTAATCTCCAGGTGCCCCCTGGAGGCTGGTAACCCCAAACCTGCCTTATTATGACCAGCAGCTCTACTTGAAACAGAGAGAAATCTCTTCACAGCTTTTGAGCAGTGGCAGATTTTGCATGGTCTAAGTGGTCTTCACTCCAAACGTGAGGGGTGGTAGATACTTGTTAGTACACCTTACAGGGTTTGCGGGGTTGATCTGTGTTTCCAAGAAGCCAGTGAATGAGTGAGCAGTGTCACACATGGAAGGTTTAATGTGGGATTGTTTTCATGCTGTCGTGTGCTAAAGCGCATAAGATCCCAACTACATATTTTAGCCCAAATACTGGAAACTGCTGAGATGGACAAATTGACTATGATATTAAGAGGAAACGACAAAGAAGACTTTGAAAACACGTGGTCAAGATCTTACGACTGGATAAAGGAATATAACAATTAAAATTCCCGGCCCTCTAACCCTTAGCTGAAACAAAAAGAACTAAGAATTATAGATGTAATTACTGATAAAATATAACTGTATGGTGGGGAAAAGTGACAAAAATGTCTAGACTGTAATAAGATACCAAAGACAAAGGGCACAATGACACAGATAGACTCTCCCTTTTATGTGCATTTATGTATGTTTGTTTTTTTGTTTGTCCTACATAATTGAAATGTTAAAATATTGCACACAAAAATGAAGAAGATCCCAACTACATCATGCCGATGTTGTGGTGGCATCATCAGACACCAATGTAGCAAGATTATAGGATTGCACGGGTCTCAAACTACATAGATTTTTAAAAAACATATGTTTCCTCTTGAATTGTAGATACAGTGCGACCAGGGTCCAGGACCCTTCTGTTGCCAGTGCAAACGAACAAGTGTACACCAGAGGCCACATGTAACCTGAATGGTGAACCTGTGCAGAAAACAGTGGTTTTATGTGGAGCCAGAGTGATGTGCTGGTTAGAGTAGCAGACCATAGTTCAGATCCCCGCTATGGCTTGAAATCTCACTGTGTTGTTTGGAGCCAGTTAATCTATCTTAAACCCCATAGGATAGTGGCCGAGAGGACTGCAATGGAGCGCATAATTTATTTTTATGCATTTTAATATTTGTATGCCTTAATTTTTAAATTTTACCAGGTTATGGTTATTTTTTTACTTGTTTTCTGGTCATGAACTGTAAATAACGTAAAGACTGAAATGGAGGAAGCCATTCTGGTTTCCCCATCGGAGAGGAAGATAAAGCTAAAGGTTCCCTTGCTCGAAAGCCAGTTGAATCCGACTCTAGGGTTGCGGTGGTCATCTCGGTTTCAAAGCCGAAGAGCCAGTGCTGTCCGTTTCCGTGGTCATGTGGCCGGCATGACTAAACACCAAGGCGCACGGAACGCTGTTACCTTCCCACTGAAGTGGTACCTATTTATCTACTTGCAATTTCTTGCTTTCAAACTGCTAGGTTGGCAGGAGCTGGAACTAGAGACGGGAGCTCACTCTGTCTTGCGGCACCCGGGTCTCGAACTGCTAAACTACTGACCTTCCACAGCCTGCAGTTCAGCGTCTTAACCACTTGAGCCACCGCAGCTCCATCGGAGAGGAAAGTGGGGTATAAATATGTGAATAGGGACATATCTTCTGTATTGATTTTATCTTCTGTAATCTGTATGGACGCGACTGTGGGTGGAATGGATTATTCCCATTGATAGCAGAAGGTGGTAAGCGTTGACCATAGCAGAACACATAACTTTCTGTTTTCAGAAGCTGAGTAGAGTTTAGTTTCAGTTTTGTTCTTTAAAGTACAATGCCGAACCAGTGCTGTACTATTGTTTTCAGTAGGCAGTCCAGTCGGAGTATGAGGCTCGGTCCGGACCCTCAGGTTACTGGTTCCCTCTTAAAGGGGTCGCAAGGGCCAAACAAAAAGCCACAATTGGAACCAAAGTGATGAAAGAAGCAACAAGCCTTCTGTTTTAAGGTATGTCTGAGAACAACCTTAATTCTTTTGTCTTGTTTCGTCTACTTTTTCAGTAATGCAGAGAGCAATACTAAACAGGCTTGGATTTATTGAATGGGAAAGTGGTGGTAAAACAGAGTTGCCAACTCCAGGTGGGGAATTTCCTGGAGATTTGGAAGTGGAGCCGGGGGCTTATAGTGCCATAGAGTTCACCCTCTTGAGCAGCCATTTTCTCCAGGGGAACTGATCTCTATCATCTGGACATCAGTTGTGATTCCAGGAGATCCCCAGGTCCCATCTGGAGGTTGGCAAACTTATGTTAATAGGGTTGCCAGTTCTGGGTTGGGAAATACCTGGAGATTTGAGGGGTGGAGAATGGGGAGGGCAGGCTTCGGGGAGGGGGGGGGGGACTTGAGTGGGGAGTGGGGTAGAATGCCACAGAGTCCCCCTTCCAAAATGGCCGTTTTCCCCCCCTTCTGATCTTTTTCACCTAGGGTTCCCAGCTCCAGGTTGGGAAATACCTGGAGGTTTTTGGGAGTGAAGCCTGAGGAGGGCGGGGTTTGGGGAGGGGAGGGGCTTCAGTGGGACTTCTGCAGCCGCCATTTCCTCCAGATGAACTGATCTCTGCCACCTGGAGACTGGTTGTAACCACCCAGCCACCGCCGCCACCTGGATGTTGGCAACCCGACGGTTTTATAATTCTACTCTCAATGATATTTCGTATCAAAATCTGAAGCTCTGTGCCAGGGTCCCTAATGTGGTACTTGGGGGGTGCCGTGACATGCATCGACACCCAGAGGTCATTTCGGGGGGGGGATTGCAGAGGATCGCAGTTCCCCCGGGTGAGGTAGGGGGGAGGGGCACATGACAAAGCCCCGCCCCCTGCTTCCGGCCGCCCCGCTTCCGGCCCTCATTTAGCCAGGAGGAGGCAGGAGAAGAGGGAGGGTAAGTGCAAGGCCGCCGGTGGCGGCCGGGACCGTTGGGGGCGGGGTGTGTGGCCTTATGACACACTTCCGGTGATGTCAGGGGGTGTGGCCTTATGACACACTTCCAGTGATGTCAGGGGGTGTGGCATATGCTAATGAGTTGTGCTAATGAGTTCCCCTAGATCTTTTTCTACGAAACGACCCCTGTCGACACCTTTCCTGGCACCCGCCCAGTGTTTTTAAGAAAGTGGGCGGGGCCAGGTGGGTCTTTTGCCCGGCACGGCTTCTGATTGGCCATAGGAGAGTTGATAGGCTGTGCAGATTTTTATTTTTTTTAAAACATGGCTTTAGCAGCTGCCGCCACCACAGCCGAAGGAACTTCACTGCACAACTGAAAGTAAGCTGGGGCAGCCATTTTGGTCTTGCGCCTACCGTGCTGTGTCAGATTTCCCAAGGTGCCTTTGGGCTCAGAAAGGCTGAGTAGTCCTCCTCTGTGTGATCTTACAGGTCATGGTAGTGAGTGCTCCTCCTTTCTTGTTCTCCCTGGGAGTAGTGCATTTTAGATTACCACTTTCTGGGGATGGAGGGGGGAGAAGAATTAGGGATGGCTTGTGTATACCGTCAGGTTTGTCTTGTGAGGTTCCTGGACCTGTTTGGTAGCCTGCTGTTAGTGATCAGATGCCAGACTGAATGGCCTTTGATTCAGATCCAGAAACTTCATTCTTGGGCATCTTGAAACGTTTCCGCCAGTGTTTGGAGTGCTGAAAGCTCAATAATGCCGCAACAGAAAAGCCAGCAGTGCCTATCTTATGCGGTTGATATGGGTGTATGGAATGCGTGGCAACCTGTTGTGGAGGTGGGGCTTCCTTGTTGGCTAGATTTCTCAAGTCGACTCTGGTGAAAACGATACTTCTTGTGCCAGCCGGTGAAGTAGCTGCGGAGGTCAGTCCCTGACGGATCCAGGAACCTCAGCAGAAGCAAGGAGACAGCGAGACCCGAGCTCGGTCAGGGGCCAGTTGACTTCTGTGCTATGTACCATCACCTGCGGCTTGCAAAACGAGACTTCATGCTGGTCGTCAGCGTGGTCTTCCTTGTCAGCCTCACCCTTTCGTTGATGCAGAGAACAACCAGGTGAGTCATGCCGTTGGGACTCGTGGGGCTAGTGTTGGGGCTTAGTGGGGCTTGAGCAACCAGGGCCGGCTCACTCACTAGGCGAACTAGGCGATCGCCTAGAGCGGGCCAGCCCTTAGGGGCGCCAAACTGCACCCAGCCCCGTACTCTGAGAGTTTCTTGATTATTTGTGTTTTTCATTCTTCCTAAAATGCATTTATTTTTGAAAAATGGCAGGCGCGGGGGGGGGGGGGCGGCAGAAGGGATCCTCGCCTAGGGTGCAAAATTATCTGGGGCCGGCCCTGGGAGCAACAAAGCTGTGGGGGCTCAGTGCTATACTGGACAACAGGGGGATTACCCCGTTGCGAGGGCTGGGTTAGGGACCAAATCACGCCAACTGGCTGAGCCAATGGGGTGTTGTGGCTAGAGCGACCAATGAGGATCGGGGAGACCTGAGTTCAAATTCCTACTCTGCCATGAAATTAGCATGGGCCCAGAATCGCAGGACTTTTTGTAGGGGTAAAATGACAAAGGAGATCCGTGTGTGCCACACAGAACTCCTTGCAGGAAGCGTTGGAAGGTTGAGATCTACCTTCCTGTTCGGCCTGCGATTGTCTTGAAAAATTGGCACAAGAATGCTTAAAACTCTTGGTTCTGGTTTTCGTACGTGTCCACTGATGGTGAAGGAGAGCCTGAGAAGTACTCTAAGTGGCACTTGTCCGTTTGGGCTTTAGTGGGCTGTAAGGTTGCCAACCTCCGGTGGGGCTGGAAGATCTCTTAGACAAACAGAGCTCAGTTCCCCTGGAGAAAATGTCTGCTTTCAAGGGTGTGGAAGAAGAAGTGATTGGATTTATACCCTGCCCTTCACTACCCAAAGGAGTCTCAGAATAGCCTACCATCTCCTTTCCCTTCCCCGCCCCACAACAGACGCCCTGTGAGGTAGGTGGGGCTGAGAGAACTCTCTCGAGAACTGCTCCTGAGAGAACAGCTCCGAGGGAACTTGTGACTGACTCCTTCACACCAGCAGCTGCATGTGAAGGAGTGGGGAACCAGACCCGGTTCTCCCAGATTAGAATCCTCGCTCCTAACCACTACACCAAACTGACTCTGTGGCCTTCAACCCCACTGAGGCCCCTCCCCAGGCTCCACCCCCAAACTTCCAGGAATTCCCCAACCTGGAGTTGGCAACACTGGCGGCCCCTGCGCGTTCACAAATCTGAGGCCAAATCCGTCTGTTGCGATGCCCATTGTAGCAAACGCTTTCCCAGGTTATGGCCCTAAGCGAGCCCTTCGGCCCAGAGAACAATCAATGTCAATTAGATGCCAAAGGCATGAAGTGAACATTGCATGACAACTTTTTTATGATGCCACATTGGGGTAAAAGGGTAAGAAATCTATACCTGACTAATGCACGGAAACAGAGGCACTATTTGTGCGAGCCGTTCACCTTTGGGCCCAAAGACATGCAAAGACGTGCCTTGGGTTGTCATGTCAACCAGAATTGAAGCCACAATAACTGCCACTGTGTTTTCATACATCCGGGTTAAAGTTGAATAAATAAATAAAAAGATAATACAGATTTGGGCACCTTCAAGTAACCTGCCCCTTAGATCTAATCTTGGGTGCTGCTAAAGCAAAGAAGGAAACTCTGTGGGATAGATAAGAATCATTATCTGAAAGCAAGAACGCAGTATTTTCAGTTTCTGAGTATGCTTGCGTAGCCGATAGAAATCCTGTGAAAATTTCTCTCTTGGAGTGCTATATAGTAAAGCATTTAGTGAGGAAGAGTCTGCAAACCACAAATGCAGAAACATTGCTCTTTTGGAGTGTGCGAATAACGGCCAGCCAGAAGAGCTGTTTGCATAGTTTGAAATCGTAAGGCTGTGAAAGACACTCTGAGATGGTAGTTAGAGATGTTAACTAGGTAACTCGACCTGCGATGGTCAAATTTACAGTATTTATACCAGGGAGCCACTTCACATTTCATAATTAGACAACGGTCGATCAGTGCACCAGCCTCATATAGCGCGAAATCTCAGCTGAGGCCCTGAGAAGGTAATCTGGGATGGTGTATCTTTGGATAATGGCATTGAGAAAGTTGGAACGAGTAGGATCTTTAAGAAAGTGGAGGTTGTCTGATTGATGGCTTATAGAGTTGGCTCTCGGAGGTGTGTTTCCCCCCAAATATTTTAAGACAGCCAGATGTGCCCGGGCCTTGAAAGAGGGGAGTCCCAGTTCAGCTCTCATCAAAGATGAGGGAGTGCCTCTGGGCAAGGCTAAGATTCGCCTTATAAATTGGTTTTGGACTACCTCAAAGTTAGCCGCAATATCCTCCTTCCAGCCCCAAACTTCAACTCCATACAGGAGGTGAGGGATGACCTTGCTAATACATAATTTCAGTGCCGGGTCAACCAGACGCCCGCCCTTTGTGTGGAAAAAATGTAGGATTGATCCTACCATTCTTAATGCAGAAGATTTTACTGATGCAAGATGATTTTTTTTCAATTCAGAGTTTCCTTAAAGGTTATTCCTAGGTATTTAAATGCTTTGCATTGTTTGATAGGGTTGCCAAGAAGAGTCCACGGAGAGATTTTAGGTTTTCTCCTAAAGACCATAACTTTGGTCTTTGCGTAATTTATTTTAAGCGCTTTGTCACTGCAGTATTTCCCTGATGTAGAAGTCTTCTCAGACCAATTTTAGTTAGGGATATTAAAACCATATCATCCGCATAAAGAAGAATGGAGATTTTTTTTGTTGACCCAGTGCTGGAGGGAAAAATTGCGGACCAGAGAGAACCTCTGTTATGTTTTTTTTTTTAATAAAGATTTTATTGGCTCCCCTAAAAAGGGGAGGTATTTCGCTTAAAAGAAAAAATGGGAAGGGTAGACAGTGGGAGAAAGAGAAAGCTGAGTGATATATAAACTGGTAAATTAAACTGTTAGTAATGTCCAATTAATCTTCTTGGGCTTCTTCTGTGTGTTGTCAAACTTCTTTTCTTAGTCCTGTCACATATAGTTCTCTGTTAGTATGTTAGTAATGTTCCTTTGAATTTCTGTTAATAAAAAAAAAATCTCTTCTGTGCACATTCAGAACCGCTTCTTTGCGTGCTGGGTACTTTTACTATCGCTAACGTGGAGGAGCTTCCTCTGTTGTCTTCTCCTTCTGGCTTGTTAGATCCTCCTTCGGGTTGTTGTTAATACTCTCAGTTCATGCACTATAAATCCTCTTCTTTTCATGCCATTACCGGAGGTCCCCAGTTTTGAGAATGGTATTAATTTCATTTTCGCTTTTATATGAATCTCTGTTATGTTGTTGATGTACAAATTAAATAATGATGGAGCCAGCACACAACTCTGTTTCACACCTTTTCTAACAGGAATTCTACTGGTTAAAGCGCCGGAAGTTCCCACTCTAATTTGGGCAAAAGTTATCTCTATGTAGCTCTCGAATAAGCGGTAATAACCGCCTCTCAACGTTCATTTTAGCTAACTTTGACCAAAGGCGGTCCCTATTTATAGAATCAAATGTGGCGCCCAAGTCAACAAATGCTACATAAAGAGCCTTTGTTGGTCCATTTAAACCAGAACACACCAGTTGGTAAAAGGTTTGGCAGTGACAGATTGTTCCAACGCCCTTCCAAAAACCTGCTTGAGCCGGATGGAGAATTTCTTCCTCAACCATCCAGTCTTCCAGTTTTAACAGCAAACTGTTTACTATATAGTTTTGCCGCAATATATATGAAAAGCATTGGGTTCGCCGCATGGAAGACTCGGACGACGACATGCAGTTGCATATGTTTATTGCGTACTTCACATGAGAACATGCAATGGCCCTGCAAGGCCAACTATATACACTCCCATCCCTGGGCCTCCCACTCCATTGGAGGGTTTGAATTTCCCGCCAAGAAGCCCATTGGTCAGCTGGGGGGGGGGACTAGGATCCTAGGTCCCATTGTCTCTCTGGAGCCAAGCTCCTGACTTTCTTGTGGCCGCCGTGTGGCGGGCTGCATACATAACAATCTAGTAAGCTTATTGGTCTATAATTGTGTGGATTAGGGTTAGGGTTCACTCCAGGACCCAATTGGAGGTTGGCAGCCCTAAGTGTGTACACCCGTCCTTCCCTCCTGGGTAGGGTCGCCAGCTTCCACGTGGCACCTGGGGATCTTCCACTATTACAGTTAAGAACATAAGAGAAGCCAACGGTGGATCATCAGGCCAATGGCCCATCCAGTCCAACACTCTGTCACATGGTGGCCAAAAATACCAGGTGCCATCAGGGGGTCCAGCAGTGGGACCAGGACACTAGAAGCTCTCCCACTGTTGCCCCCCCAAGCACCAAGAATACAGAGCATCCCTTGCCCCAGACAGAGAGCTCCTATCCATACCTTGTGGCTAATAGCCACTGATGGACCTCTGCTCCATATGTTTATCTGATTCCCTCTTGAAGCCTTCCCTGCTTGTAGCTGCCACCACCTCCTGTGGCAGTGAATTCCATGTGTTAATCACTCTTTGGGTGAAGAAGGACTTCCTCTTACCTGTTCTAACCCAACTGCTCAGCAATTTCATTGAGTATAAAGTCTGGATTGGGCAATTCCTTGCGATTTGGAGGTGAAGGCTGGGAAAGGCAGAGTCTGAGGGGGGCAGGGACCTCAGCTGGGTGTAATGTCATAGAACTCGGGTTGGCAGCTCCCGGCTTGGAAATACCTGGAGATTTTGAGGGTGGAGCCTGCGGAGGGGCAGGGCTTGGGGAGGGGCTTCAGGGGAGTCCGTCTTCCAAAGCGACCGTTTTCTCCCGGTGAACTCATCTCTGCCGCCTGGAGATCAGTTGTAATCCCAGGAGACCTCCAGCCACCACGTGGAGGTTGGCAACCCTACATAGAGTCCACCTTCATTTTCTCCAGGGGAGCTGATCTCATAAATTAGTCGTCATTCTGGGAGATCTCCAGGCACCAGTCATACCCATGGTGCATAAAAATCGCACAGCTTCCACATGCAATAGCTAAAACTAATATAAACCTCGGCGAGTGGCAAATAGAAGCAGCAAGTAAAAGCAGCAACAGATCTGAAACAGTTGATCAATAAAATCAGCAGGTATATTATGGGCAGATGAACGAGGGTGGTGGAGGAGAAGGAAGAAGAAGAGATTGGATGTATACCCCGCCCTTCACTACCCAAAGGTGTCTCAGAGCGGCTTACAAACTCCTTTCCCTTCCCCCTCCCCACAACAGACACCCTGTGAGGTAGGTGGGGCTGAGAGAGCTCTGACAGGAACTGCTCTTTTTCAAGTACAGCTCTTATCAGAACTATGGCTTGCCCAGGGTCATCCAGCCAGGTGCAAGTGGAGGAGTGGGGAAGCAAACCCGGTTCTCCCGGATTAGAGTCCACACACTCAACCACTACACCAAACTGGCTCTCCACAATATGAAAGCAAATTGAAAGATTCTGTATCAGAAGCCTAAAGTTCAACAAGCTCAAGTTCAAAGGCCCTGTCTCCTGTTGCCTTTGCAGGTAAGGGAGCACTAAATAAGACTTGGGGCATTGACCGTAGCTGATGGGCAAGGTCTGTATAGCTGCTTAGTCAAAAGGACACACAGCCGTATGTGCTGGGGGTGTTCAATAGAGTTTACACTGGTTAAGAGCTGTAAAGTCGACGACCCTTTTCTTTTTGGGTGACTTCCCCAGAGACCAAGGTATACCGCAAGCATTAGCCAAGTGCGTGGACCTGAACGAGTTCCTCCTTGAGACTGGAAATCTGTCAGGAAAGTGAGTATTGCTTTTTAAAAGAAATCTTCATTTATATGCATGTCTTTCTCCCAACCAAGTCTGGACTTACCACGTATTGTTGATGGCCCCAGCTAACCGAGGCAGGGGTCACTTCCTGTGGGAGTGCACAGGAGTGAAGCTCCGGCAGTAAGGAATCCAGGGGGCGGGCACATGCAACAAGCCCCGCCCTCTGCTCCCAGCAGCCCTCAGTCGGGCCACAAGGAGCAAGAAGCAGCCAGGTAAGTTGCAGAGCCCCCCCCCCCGGCCCGCCTTCAGGTACAAGCTCTTCCTCCTCTGTGAGGGCAGATCTGCACGTTCCCCGCCCCCAATACAGTCCAGTGGAGCCTGAAAGGTGGGTGTTGCCTTCTGACACACTTCCGGTGACGTCAGGGGGTGTGGCATATGCAAATAAGTTATGCTAATAAGGTATGCTAATGAGCACCTCTTTTTCTACGAAATGACCCCTGAATGAAGGACTTCAGCCCCTAGAGCCAGTGGATGATTAGGTTCAACATGGGGAAATTTAGACCCCCTCTGTCACCATTTCGGATTGTTGCTCTGTGAAAACACTATAAGAATTTCAGCATATTTAAGAGACCTTTCATTGCTAGAGAACCTGTTTGTGTGTATAGTTTCAGAGGGGAGCCATGCTGGTCTACAGCAGGGGTGGCCAAACTTGCTCCGTGTAAGAGCCACATAGAATAAATGTCAAATGTTTGAGAGCTGCAAGATATGAACAAATATTACACACACATTTTTGTTTAAAAATATGCAGATTCGCTTTTTTACTAACATTAAACGAGGCTGCCAAAAATAAAAACAAAAGGGGTAAAAACAGATATTGATGATGATATTTATTTGTCCAATGATGGCCCCGGCCAGACGTGTCGGAAAACGTGGGGGGGGGAGCGCGGCTATTTGCGCCGTCACATTCTGATGCGCTATTATGAGATCAGATGCGATGGCGGCTCCCCCGCAGCAAAGAGGACGATGGGGGAGGAAGCCGCGCGCTGGCGTGATCACACCGGGAGGCTTCCATAGGCAGCCCGTGGCAAAACGTTTGCTAGTACATGCGGTGTGCTAGTTTTTTTACTGCGCGGCTTCAGCGGCTTGCCACAGATTCGCCACGGGGGTGCTACGCCTCCCAGATGTTCCCGTGTGATCGTGCCCGGATACTCCACGGGACTCCCGTGCCTTCAGCAGGGCAAATGCTCCGTGTGACCGGGGCCGATATTTATTTGTTTGCTAATGATATTTATTTGTCAAAGAGAGGGGTCGAAAGAAAGAATGAAAGAGGTGGAAAGAAAGAGAGAGCGAGAGAGACAAAGAAAGCAAATAGCCGGGAGGGAGGGAGGAAAGGAGAAAAAGTATTCCTCCCCTTTGTTTTCCCAGCTGCCCTTCCGGGAACCGCACAATGTGTGAGAAAGAGCCAACATGTGGCTCCCGAGCCACAGTTTGGCCACCCCTGGTCTACAGTAAAACAGTTAGATCCGTCAGTAGCACCTTAGAGACCGGAATTTCAGGGTATCAGCTTTCAAGAGTGTGATGACGTGAACTTTGACTCTCAAGATCTTATACCTGGAAGCCCTTGTTGGTCTCTAAAGTGTTAGTGGGTTCGAATCTGTTTGGGGATATGCAAGTCACTGGTAACATGAAAAGTTAAACAAAAAGAGGAGGCCGTGAGGACTAGACGATTGAGATTTGGGGCATTCTGAGATCTGAATGAGAAAGCCGGTTCCACCTGCAGTTCGACTTGACTCTCCCAGGATAGACCCAGCCCTATTCGATCTGTGCTAGGTGTCCTTTGTGTGCCCCTCTTTGCTGCTAGGAGTGTTCTCCTTCATATGACAGCCAGAGAAGAGGAGCTGGTTCGTGCCGTTGAGAAACTGCCTCTACAGAAACTGGACGAAGAGATTTTGGCGCATTTGCTGCTGACGCAAGGATGCCCTTGGCAGGCCAGTGCTAGAGCAATGGCCCAGTACAGGTAGGACCATTCGTCTGCTCAGAGAGCAGATTAATACACTTTCTCCTCATGAAGTGTATTAATGCTTCTCAGAAAAGTGTTCGCTTTGGTGTAATCAGCACTAACAATAGTGAAACTAACAATAGTTTCACAGCAGGTGGCTCCTTAAGTGTGTACTGTGAATGAACACCGCCCTGGAGGCAATGAACATAAGAACATAAGAGATGCCAATGTTGGATCAGGCCAAAGGTCCGCTAAGCTGTGGAGTCTTGTGAGCAAAAATTCTACTTTGTGAGCCACTGGCATTAAAGTTGTGAACAAGCGATTTGGACCTCCTGATGGCACCTGGTATTTCTGGCCACTGTGTGACACAGAGTGTTGGACTAGATGGGCGATTGGCCTGATCCAACATTGGCGTCTCTTATGTTCTTATGTTCTGCATAAATTAGTTTGCCCTGGAGCCCTCCTTCCTGAGCTAACCCTAACCCTAACCCGGAGGACAAAAAACTATGAGCTGGCTCACACTCACTCAGCTTAGAGGGAACACTGCCTGGAGGCATATAAAACCTCTGTGGAATTGACGGTGTAGACTGCGGATATAGGAATTTGCATCCTTTTTTTTTTTGGTCTGCATTTTCATATATTGTTATTGCAGGCCTTTTAGTTTCACCCAATCTTCTTGGTGGCCTTGCAGATTATTTTTTTTAAAATGCCTTTTATATGCCACTGTTGCTAAAACAATGTTAAACGGTGTATATTTAAAGAGGGAAATATACCGCGAGGAAGCTGGAGATGGCGTGGAAACGCTTGTGGTTTCAACCCGTATGAGCAAGAAGCAAAATAGAAATGGGGATTTATTTTCCCTGAGTTGAAACGGTGAGGGTGTGAGATTGTGGTACCAGAGGTCATTTCGGGGGGGATCGCGGGGGATCGCAGTTCCCCTGGGTGAGGTATGGGGGGTGGGGCACATGACGAAGCCCCGCCCCCTACTTCCGGCCGCCCCGCTTCCGGCCCTCATTCAGCCAGGAGGAGGCAGGAGAAGAGGGAGGGTAAGTTGCTTCCTCCCTGCCTCTCCCCACCCCTGCCTGCCTGGGGCCAGGGAGGGCCTTCGCGGGGCTTCCTTGCACTTCCGCCGGCCTTGCAGGTCCACCGCTGGGCCCCTCATGGGGCTCGGCAGTGGAGCTGCAAGGCCGGTGGTGGTGGTGGCGGCAGCGGTGGCCGGGACCGTTGGGGGCGGGGTGTGTGGCCTTATGACACACTTCCGGTGATGTCAGGGGGTGTGGCATATGCTAATGAATTATGCTAATGAGTCCCCCTAGCTCTTTTTTCTACGAAACGACCCCTGTGTGGTACCATCCTTAATGCAGATTGTGACAAAAGGACGTTACTCCCCACCTCAACTCTCTTTTGATATCCTGGACATTTTCTGTTAACCCGAGGTATATCTTCGTGGGTTGCTCTCTGCCTACCCTCAGACCTAAGCCTTAATCTCTCAGACCTAAGCCGCCCTGAGCCCGCTTGCGGGGAGGGCGGGTTATAAATATAATAAATAAATAAATAATCTTATGTTTTAGCTTTTGTAGTTCAATTTCGTGCTCTGTCCTTTTTGTTCTCACTCAGGACAAGTCCTCATTCTTTTTCTCTTGGATCACCCTTCTTTTTCTTGAAGGGCAACTTCCCTTTCTTTTTCTCTGAGGGTAGACCTCTCCTGTCCTCTTTTTTTCCTTTTGGAGGCTAATTTTGCCAATTAGTTTTGTTTACATTCTTTTATTTCCCAGACTTCTAGCTGATTTAGGTTAACGTTGTCCTCAGCTCTAGGTGCATCCCCCTTTTCTTTCTACTGTCTCAATGATTTTATCTTTCTTCAGAGGCATCTCGACAGACTTTCTCCTCATGAAGTGCATTAATGCTTCTCAGAAAAGTGTTCACTTTGGTGTAATCGCAAAATAAAACCTCACTTCAGCACTAACAGTAGTGAAACGAACAACAGTTTCACAGCAGGTAGCTCCTTAAGTGTGTACTATGAATGAACACCATGTCACGTGGATTTCATAGTACAAACTTTGAGAGCTACCTGCTGAGGGTGGTCTCTGGGGAATCTGGGAATGGTAGTTTCCTTTCCAAGGAAGAAGCCTGGGCACAGCTGAAGGTTGCTTCCCCCCCCCCTTCCAGCAGCATCAGGCACATAATCTGAAGGTTGTAAATTTGAGCCTCACACAGGCCATTCCCCCCCCTCCATAAAAACAGCAAAAAATCCTGAAATATACTGGGTTCAGACGCGTGTAGTGATCAGGTCATAGTTTATTTTGTGATTAGCTCAATCCAAAAGACAACACTACAGCCCGCTTGCAGGGAGGGCAGGGTATAAATCAAAATAATAATTAATTAATTAATTAATAAACACTAGCAGGGCTGGAGCCCTGCTTATAAGCTTGTAAAACGGCACACCCATCACACACACCCTCCCAACAATAGGCTATTTAAAGGCAGTCCTGGGTGATAGGTCCATCCCAGGATCCTAGCAGTTCATTGTTCTGTGTCCCCAAACTGGGGCTGACGAGATTAGGCTCAGTACACAACAAATCCCCATCATCTACTGTGTTTGGAAGGATGGAACAAAACCTACTTTTTCAGGGCTTTTGCAACACTTGGTGCGTTGCAGCACACATAAGCCCCCCCCCCCTTATTATCAGGGGTCATTTCCTGCAGGAGCGCACAGGAGCGGAGCTCCGGCAGTAAAGAGCCCAGGGGGCGGGCACATGCACCCCCTGCTCTCAGCAGCCCTCAGTCAGAGCAAGAAGCAGTCAGGTAAGTTGTAGAGGCCTCCCCACAGCCCCCCTGTCTAAAACAGTCCAGTGGCACCTTTAAGACCAAGTTTTATTCAGGTACAAGCTCTCCCTCCTCTGCGAGGACAGATCTCCACGTCCCCACCCCCCCAGTAGCTAGCAATCCAAAACAGTCCAGTGGAGCCTGAGCGGTGGGTGTTGCCTTCTGACACACTTCCGGTGACATCAGGGAGTGTGGCATATGCAAATAAGTTGTGCTAATGAGTTATGCTAATAAGCTCCTGCACCTCTTTTTCTGCAAAATGACCCCTGCTTATTATTATTATTATTATTATTATTATTATTATTGCATGTACCATTAAATTCCCTTCTTTTCTTTTCTTTTTGCACTGGGGATACTGTGGTTTTCCTCTTCCCCAATCTCCCTTTAAGCCTTCAGGAAACTAACAAGCATTTGAGATATCTTAGCAATTCAAGTAATTTCCCTTTGCACTTCAACGGTGGCTGACCAGAGAGTCAACGGAGCCTTTTACTTCTTAGAACACAGAGGGAAAGCTGTATTGCTATTTGCATGCATGGAGAGAGAGAGAGAGGAATAAACTTCTGCAGCTCCTTTTACAGTTTAAAACGCCATCCTGTAATTTTTTTTAAACCTTAACTTCCCCTGCTCGAGGAGGGGCGAACACAAACCTCACTGTACTGAAAAAGACAGAGATGGAAGTGGGCGGTGCCATGGCGGCAACTGCTGTAGAAGCAACAGGTGTGCTGGGTGTCACTACATAATGGCTGCTGCAGCAGCTTACCTCCACTCACACAGTGAACATCCTTGTCCTGTGGTCGCGGCTTTTGCTAAAGCGATGTTTTAAAAAAATCCGCACTGCCAATTAGATCTCCAGTGTCCACTCAGAAGCCTGCTATGCAAAAGAACCGCCTTGTCCCGCCTACTTTCTAAAAACAACTGGCAGGCACCAGGAACAGTGTCCGGGGGGCCACGGCACCTACAGGTGCCACGTTGAGGAACTCTGCTCTGAAGTAGCCAAGTCCCTCCCGTAGCACTGACCAGCTGATTGTCAGTACCCTTCCAGGTGTTCCTAACCTCCCTCCCTTATGCCTGCAGGACGGAACTGGGAAGATGCTGCAATGCCTCTTTCTGGCTCGCGATCACCAAGGAAAATACACCTCTGGGATCGGACATCCTCTTGGATGGGAACAAAGGCAAGAAACTGCCAGTCGGAGCTGAGCTGATGGACCTGCTGCCAGAGGTAGGCGGCGGGATTGTGTAGGCACTGCTCCTTTGGCTCTAGGGACGGATCTCTCGAGTTCGGGATGGAAGGCCACAGGAGATTGCGTAATACACGTATAACTTCTGGCAGTACAAAGAAAACCAGAGATGAAACTCTGTATCAATAGAACATTAGGTAATACAAGAAGGGGGACCCACGATACTCGCGGGGGGGGGGAGCTCCATGCAGAGGAGGAGGAAGCAGCCGCAGGTAAGCCTTCTCCCCCCCCCCTGACACCAACAGTGAGGCCCGTGCGGCTCCCGCTGGATCTGCCAAGCCTTCTCCCACCCCAGCACCAATGGAAAGGCCCATGCGGCTCCCGCCGGGTTCGTCAAGTCTTTCCCCCGGCACCAACGGCGAAGCCCGTGCGGCTCCCGCTGGGTCCGCCAAGCCTTCTCCACGCCCCGCACCAACGGCGAGGCCCACGCAGCTCCCGTCGGGCCCGCCAAGCCTTCTCCCCTGCACCCCTGAGGCCCACGTGGCTCCCAGCTGTTGGGCCTGCCAAGCTTTTTCCATCAACCATGCAGCGGCGGCGGCAAGGCCTGAGCGGCCGGCCCGCCAAGCCTTCTCCCGCCCCCTCAGTGGCGGCTGCGGCAGCAGCGAGACAGTTCTCAGAGCGTTCTCTGCGCATGCGCAGGGAGCACTCTTTTACTTTTGGAGGGATTTAAGTATCCCCCTATAGTTTTTTATAGATTTCAGATTTTTCTGCACCATCTGGGGATTGCCCCAAATGTGAAGGAAACTCTCTTTGCCCTGTAGGTGCCCTCGATGTGCGGATTTAGGGGGTGCCTTGGCTATTAGATATATAGATAGGGAACTTTCAAGTCTGTTCCTTCACATGCAGTGGTAGCAGTGTGATCATCCACTTTGTTTTTGGTCCACACCAGGAATGAGGGGAAGGGGTGGTGTCGCCAAGCGGAGACTCGGGACGGTTGGGGGGGTTCCTGAAGAACACGGGGCGTGCGAGTCCATTCCTTCATATGCGGTGGTAATGGTGGGATATCCATTTTGTTTTTGGTTCCCCAGGGAGTGCATGACTCACTTTCTCTCAGGCAGCCTAGTGACCTGAAGCAGGGAAGTGTTCACCAACCTCCCTCTAAAGCGAAGGGCTACCGGTAGGGATGGACTGCAGGAAAGGCCATTGTTTTGTCCAACTACCTCCACTCTCCGCATGTAAACATTTGAAACCTTCTCTTCCTAAAACCTGTAGAGATCACCCATCCCAGGCATTCTGTATGACCAGTGTGCAGTGGTGGGAAATGGTGGAATCCTCCAGAATAGCAGCTGCGGGCAGGAAATCGACCAGGCAGATTTAATAATAAGGTAACTCTTTAGGGATGGTCAGCAGTGCTTTAAGGTGGGTAGCATGATAGGCCTGGTCTTTACTCTGTCTCTTTACAAATGTGGCTAAAATAAAATCAGTTTCCTGGTCTGTCTGTTTGGCATGGTACGGCCTGCTTCGATCGGCTCTGGGGTCACAGCAAGTGTCTTTCCCAGTAGTGGTACCTGTGAGGTCATTCAGAATGGAGATGGTGGGGATTGAAGCTTGGACCTGTTGTGTGCATTAAACCACTGACCTATGGACTCCCTAGACCATGGGTCCCCAAACAGTTTGGGCCTGCAGGCACTACGGTTGCCACACACACCCAAATGGAGGCGGGTTTTCCCTGATTTCAAGGCCCCCCCAATCCACCGCCAGCCAGCTGTCACTGGGCACATTGCACAGAGGTTGCTCTAGCATTCGGCTAAAAACCCTATGGTGACCATAGAGTTTTTAGATGAATGCTAGAGTGTCCCCGTAGATCGGGCCTAGCATGATTATGTCACTTCCGGGTGATGTCATCAGCACCTGAAGGCCCAGGGAGCGAGCCAGGATCCCCCCGGTGGCAGACAGGTAAGAAACGGGCAACCCTAGTAGGCACCTTTGGAATTCCGACACATTGTGATGGGCACAGCCACAAAACGGCTGATGCAGGAGGCAAAGCCAGCCACAAAATGTGTAATGTATCAAGTCCAGACAAGTCCAGAGACAAACGTCGAGCTTCGCTCCAAGAGACAATGGACTATGCGGATCCTAGCCTGCTCCAATCAGGGGGCTAGGTTTCCGGCCGAGAGCCTATAGGACTCTCGGCCACTGTAAATAACCTATTGGGAAGTAGGGGTGTGTTTTGGGTGGCGGTTTCTTGGGGGATATAAGTTGGCCTGCGAGCCGGCCAAAGTCGTCTTGTTCCTGATGGAATAAAGTACGCTTTGCTGAAATCACTCTCCGTCTGCGTACTTTTCAAAATGGCTGCGGCAGCTTAGCTAAAGTCACACAGTGAAGACCCTTGTGCTGTGGTAGCAGCTGCTGCCAAAGCAATGTTTTTAAAAAATCTGCACAGCTGATCAAATCCCCAGTGGCCAGTCAGAAGCCTTGCTAGACAAAGGGGCTACCTGGCCCCACCCATTTTTCTCACAACACTTGGCGGGTGCCAGGAAAGATGTCACCTGGCACCGTAGCACCCACAGGGACCGTGTTAGGAGGGCCCCTGCCCTAGAGAGCTGTCTCAGAAGGAGGGGGGGTAACATATTGTTTGTCACTTTCAGGATCATCGCCCCAAATGTGTTATATACATTCCGTAGCACCCACAGAGACAGGAAGTCACTTAGGCAGATCGTGAGAGGGAGGGCAGGGAGAGTTGCCTCAGTGCTTAGTTCTCGTGGCCCTTTCTGACATGCCCAGGGAAATGCCGATCGCCACTTTGGGGGTCAGGAAGCCATTTTTCTCCAGGCCAGTTTGGCTGGAGATCCTGGAGGGGTTTTTGTCACCTTCTGGGCGTGGAACAGCGGTCACTGGAGGTGTGGGGTGAGGTATTTGTGGATTTCCTGCACTGTGGGGGGGTTGGACTAGATGGCCCTGGAGGTCCCTTCCATGATTCTGCCTATATTGGCAGGTGTGCCCACTCCTTTGTGATTCTTTGGACGTGTGGCAGGGGAAACGAGCATTCGCACAAGCACTAATGCAGATTCTCTCCTCCCCCCCCCCCATCCAGGTTCAACCTGCCTCCTATGAATTACTCTGAAGACGTGGGGACAAAGACAAGCCTGGTGACCATAAATCCCAGCATCCTTCAAACTAAGTAAGGAGATGGGTGACCACGGACACAGGTTTACTTGCTCTACCCTGGCATATGGTAACAGGGCTTCAGAACTTGTCCGCGTGGGTCAGTTTTATCTAATACGGATTTTTGCTGCACAGGGTTGTTGTTTTTTTTAACTGGCTTGCTAAACAATGACAAGAGGCAAGTGGAGAAATCTACCTCAATATACCCTGACAGCCATTAGCAATGAAAACAGGTGCATGTTGGTATACCTATCCACCAGGGCTCTTTTTGTAGAAAAAGCCCAGCAGGAACTCATTAGCATAATAGGCCACACCCAACAGCAGAAACTCATTAGCATATTAGGCCACACCCCTGACAGCACAGCTCATTAGCACATTAGGCCGCACCCCCATGTTACCAGAAGTGTGGTCATCCAGCCACACCCACCTTTCGCTTGTTATTCTGTTTACCTTGTTTGTTGTCAAAACCCAGGGCCTTTTTTTGTAGCAGGAACTCCTTTGCATTTTAGGCTACACACCCCTAATGTAGCCAATCCTAATGAGTTTCTGCTGTTGGGTGTGGCCTGTTATGCTAATGGATTCCTGTTGCTGGGCGTGGCCAACTTGGGAGCCAGCCGGAACTCCGTTCCTGTGCGTTCCTGCCCCAAAATAGCCCTGCCTATCCAAACTATAGATCCCTCCACGTGCTCCACATTCACAGATATACCCACGCGGGACCATTCAGTTGGTCTTTTTTATCGCTGAGAAATGCTGCGTGGCCCTATCGGCAGCGTTCCCTCTAAGCTGAGTTAGTGTGAGCTAGCTCATAGGTTTTTAGCTTCCAGCTCACACATTTTTGCCTTATCTCAGGAAGGGATGGCTCCAGAGCAAGCTAATTGATGCAGCAGCCGAGTCACTCGCTCACAGCTTTAATGCCGGAAGGTCACAAAGTAGAATTTCTGCTCACAAGACTCCACAGCTTAGAGGGAACATTGCTTATCGGTAGTGTCCAGTTCCTCCTCCTCCCCGAAAACTGAAATGTGGCACCCCAGGGAGAAATGGAAGGGGAAAAGGTACCTGTAGCATCAGGGAGGGACCGGGGGAGGGAGGCTCGTAAGCAAGTCACTTTGGTTCGATCTTCATCCCACCCTCCCCCAAATAGCACAGGGGCAGCCATACATAGTGGTCGTCTGCTTGACTGTCACAACAACCCTGTGAGGCAGGCTAGGATGTGAGGGAAGTGATTGGCTCGAGGTTACCCAGTTTGCTCCCTGATAAAATGGGGATTTGAACCTGGGTCACAGACACTTCACACCACACTGGCTGGAGCTGCTAGTCTGTGTTTGGTTAGATAAGCTGTCGCCCCACGATTCTGAGGCTCTGTTTTGACCTCTAGGCTACAAAAAAAATCTGGACACACACGACCCAATCAGTTAAACAAGTATAAAGCCAACAGTCGTGATAATCTGACAAGAGACAATATTGTTATCGGTGTAGCACATATTCTAAAAATTGTATTTTTGTACACTACAGAATATCTCCTGAAGAAGATCCATTTTTTGAAACGTTGTTATGTAATCTGGAGGCGTCGTTGATTATGTACCTTGGTTCAAGGATTTTCTATTGAGTTGTGTATCATGTTGTAGTGCTTTAGATTGCAATACATAAACAGCGTTCTTTATAAGTCTTATGACTGTTTGATTGTGGGCAGGGGTCTTGTTGTAGAAAAAGAGCTGCCGGAGCTCATTAGCATAACTCATTAGCATAACTTATTTGCATATGCCACGCCCCCTGACATCACCGGAAGTGACAGAAGGCCACACCCCCTGACATCACCGGAAGTGTGTCAGAAGGCCCGGCTACTTACCCTCCTGCTTCATCCTCATTCCCAAACGGAATGAGGATCGAAGCAGAGGGCGGGGTAAAGAAGGGGGCGGGGCTTCACCACGTGACCACCCCGCCCCCTAGAGGTTCTCTTCCGGAGCTCCGTACCTGAGAGCTCCCCCCCGACTAGAGCCCTGATTGTGGGTCAGACTATCACGACTGTTGGCTTTATACTTGTTTAATTGACCTCTAGGCTCCCATCTTGCGGTGGTTTGGTCTCATCAATTAGCCTTGGTGCCAGGCCCGTAGCTACCGCGGGGCCCATGGGGCCCGGCCCCCTAGTAATTTTTATGGGTCTCCCTCTCTGAGCCTTGGCTCACCCTCCCCCCCCGGTTGCCTGGCGACTCGGCAGGGAGGACGAGGGCAGCACCAGCAGCAGCGGTGACACAAGAAGCAGCAGCGGTGGTGAGGCTGGGCTGAGAGATGCTTGCCGCCCCGCCCGCCAGCAGCGGGTCAGCCCAGCCAGGCAAGGCAAGGAGGCAAGTGGGTGTGCCCATGCGCCCACGTGCTTCAGTTTTGTAGCCAGCCCAGCCACCGCACACCTCGCCTCTCCCGGCCCCAGGAGGCAGCCAAAGGTGGAGGTTGGGCTGCTCCTGGTGCAGAGACACAACGAGAGGCACTGGGGCTCCTCGGGGGGGAGCCAGACGCTCCACAGGGAAGGGCTGCCCTTGCCGGGGGGAGAGAGAAGCTCCCCCACCTAGAGATGTGAAGGCCCGGAAAAAAACCGGAAAAAAATAGGAAAAAAACAGTTTTCCCCCCCGTTTTTTTCCTGAAGCCTCTTTGTTTTTTTCCAAAAAATTGGAAAAATTGAAAAAAGAAAAAAAAATTGATTATGGAACGTTTTATTTTAACATGATGAATAAAATATTTTAAGACAAGGTGTTCAAATATTTTCCAAATCATTTCTAAAAAACATGTATGGTGTCAGATTGATCTAATTTCTGTGCACGGAGGCCAAGCAAGTCCTAGGTTACAAACTGAACTCTCCAATGCAAGAACAAGATGCATTTCTTCCTTTAGGAGGTGCGATTGTCACAAGAAAAGAAAAAGGTTTCAGTTTTGTTTTTGCATGTGGGTGGGTATTCCGTTTGTAATAATTGTTTGGATACACTATATTTTTAATATGCTAGTTGCGATATATTCATGCCAAGTAAAAATGTCCATAGTCATATTTTATGTTCCTAAAGTAACAGAATGACTTTCAATCTAGAAAAGACAAAAGAAATGCTAATGTAGCATTTTTCCAATTTTTCCGGAAATTTCCGTTCCCCCCCCGAAAAAAACCGGGTTTTTTCCCGAGCTTCAAAATTTCCAGAAATTTTACATCTCTCCCCCCACCCCCGATTTAATTAGCGGATGCCCCCCCCCCAGGCCCCTTCACAAAAAGACCCTTCGCTACGGGGCTGCTTGGTGCCCAGAAGCATTCTCTGCCTCAAGCATGACCACTCCCGGGAGAAAACCCTCTGAGGAGGGGGGCGTGGCTCAGTGCTTTGTATTTAGGAGGTCCCGGGTTCAGTGCCCTGACCTGGATGGGCCAGCCTAGCCCAACCTGCTCGGACTTGGCCCTACAACGGTCTCATCGTGCTTAGCGTGCTTCCTCGTGCCGCACAGTTATGCATCTCTCTCTGCTTGGCACACGTCGAGTTAAGGCCTTCCCGCCACCCTCCCCAGCTTGCGATGGGCTGTGGCCTGAACTCGGCTTGCTCACCCCTCATTTCTCCTCTTGCCCTGCAGATTCAATAAGCTGGAGGCCCACAGGAAGCCTTTTGCAGACGCCCTGCGACCTTACAGGAGCGCCCTCGTCTTCATTCCCGCTTTCTCGTTCGTGGGCCACAGTGAACTCGCGTACCGAGCTCTGTACACCATGGAGGACTTTGGCACGGGGCAGCGGGCTTACTTCTGGAACCCGCACTATCTGGACACCCTGGGCATATACTGGAAAGCTCGTGGCTTCTATCCCCATCGCCTCTCCTCTGGCTTTATGCTCGTCAACATGGCCTTGGAGTTCTGCAAGCGCATCACTCTCTATGGCTTCTGGCCCTTCTCACATGACCCGGCCGGCCGGCCAATACCGCATCACTATTACGACAACACTTGGCCCAAGCCTGGCGTACATGCCATGAGCCAGGAGTTCTCACACTACCTCCACATGTACGCCCAGGGCGTGCTACAATTACGACTAGGCAGTTGCCAGTGAGGGGGTGGGGGAACTGCTTGAGAATGGACCGAGAGGTCAGGGAGGGGGGCCAGACTGCAATGCCTTGCAAAGCCTGAAGGCAGTAGCACCGAGGTTGGAGGGGGGAGCAGCGTGGAGGATCTCTTCAAGTGCTGGACAGACCGCTTTGCAAAACTTTCTGAGGTTGCTACCGCACTAGGCACCTTATCTGAAACTGCCGTCATCCAGGTAGATCCGTGTTGATCTGGAGCCCTACAACAAATCTAGAGTCCAGGGGCACCTTTAAGACCAACGAAGGTTTATTCAAGGTACGAGCTTTCGTGCGCGCGCACACGTAATCAAATACGAAGAATGGCAAAAAGGGTTCAGACTTACAGCCAGAGGTACAGGGCTTTTTTGGTAGAAAAAGTCCAGCAGGAACTCATTAGCATAATAGGCCACGCCCACCAACAGAAACTCATTAGCATATTAGGCCACACCCCTGACAGCCCAGCTCATTGGCATATTAGGCCACACCCCCATGTTACCAGAAGTGTGGTCATCCAGCCACACCCACCTTTTGCTTCTTATTCTGTTTACCTTGTTTGTTGTCCAAACCCAGGGCTTTTTTGTAGCAGGAACTCCTTTGCATGTTAGACCACACACCCCTAATGTAGCCAATCCTAATGAGTTTCTACTGCTGGGTGTGCCCTGTTATACATAGGCCTGGAATACTGTATTTTCAATTCCCTCCCCCCCCAATTTTGTATTCTGCCTTGAATCTCAATGAGAGAGGTGTGGCCTATTATGCTAATGAGTTCCTGCTGGGCTTTTTCTACAAAAAAAGCCCTGGCTGCCCGTTAAATCTGCCTGGCATTCACGCTCATGACAGGTCTAATGGTGTATATGATCGCGACCATTATCTTTTTTGTACTGCACTGTTATCCAATTTTAGTTGCTGCATGGTTTATTATTTATATTTCTTTTCTTTATTTGGGGGGATGTCCACAGTCAATTCTGCTATACTAATATACCATGATTATGGTAAAGCGCTGTACTGTCTATGAAAAGGTTAGTGCCAGAAACGTAGGCCTTGAATACTTATTGTTTTTGCCACCCCCCCCCCCCCCAATTTTGTATTCTGCCTTGAATCTCAATGAGAGAGGCAGGCTATAAATAAGGGTAAAGAGCAGCACTTATGGGAAACCTTTGAGATTTTGGCTGCTGTTATTTTTGGCAGATCGGTTTTCCCGGGTTTATTGTCGGCTGATTGGATGGTTTTGTTTGCTATGCGAAATTTGCCCTTATTGATTGCCACACTGATTGCCTACTGGAATTGTGAGGTAGACATGTTGAAACAAGTAAACAGAGATCACTCATGCGTCTCCTGTGTGCAAGGGTTTCTTTAGACTTCACCTCGCAACAACTCTGCTTTGAAGTGTTGGCAGGGCTATCAACCAATGAGTGAAGCGTTTTTTAAAAAGTCGACTGCGATTGGTCAAAAAATAAATAAAAACAAAAAAAAATAAAAAATAAAAAAATAAAAAAATAAATAAAAACAAATCTAAACTTCAACAGGTGTGTTCTATATGTGCATTTTAACTTTGCTGAGAGATTTGTGAGAACAATATGATGCACAAATCTATGCCCATGTGCTCCCAAGGCCAAATTGGAAACACACAGCCAGAGTCCAGAGAGTTTGATGAATCTGTTTATTGCAATGGAAACAGGGAAGACAGGGACTGAGTACCTTAGCACTTCAGCAATTCCAAGCCATATTCTACCATAACCAGGAAGGGCAGAAGGTCTTATACCCCAAATGACATCACATATAATTTACACATTAAAGGATCTCTAATTGGTACCAAGCAGTTAACATCATGGAAGCATCATTTGACTCAGTGCATCTCTCATTGGTGTCAGCAATTACACTTGTTTATCTGGTCTTCAGAACACTGGGGGCGATTTCTCACTAGGCACTTGCGCCTGGTTTCCTCTGGAGTTTCCTGCTCCGAAGCATTTTTTTCAATTTCACAGCAAGCCTGTCTGCCCCGCTCGTGCCGCGGGTCTTTCATTTTACATTGAAGCCTTGGGGAGTGGCTTCCTGCAATTCACCTCCTCCCACTACCGCCCCTTGGTTTCCAAACCCTCCCAAACCCCTCCCATCCGACCTCCCCCCATCCACCCCTTTCTATTTTTTTTTGCACGCATGCTCTGTTTCGTTAGATCGTTATTTCGGAACAATGGTGGTGAGGAGACACATGTGACACTTCTTCAGCAACCTGATTGGTGGTCTTTGTTCTCCAAGCCGGGAGTTTTAAAAAAAGGTCTGGGGATTCTCCATTTTGCACATCTCAGCACTGAGACTTTTCCCCAAGATGGATCATCGGGAGAAAGCGTTAGCTGTACTCTGATCATTGCTTGAGTGTATATTGTAGCATCTATTTCATTGCCATGCAGTGTGGGTGGGCAGCATCTTTTTTATT